ATATTAATGTTAGCTAACCATAATAAATTATAGAATTTCACTAAATTTAAATTGCCCCCCGTATGGTTGAAAACAGCAAATTGATATTTGATTACTTATAGATTACCACCTATACACAAAATGACACGAAGACCTGGAATATGGCGCCCAACCTGATTAGACCTTCTGCGCATGTTGACGCTCATTCTCTATCCCTTCTATTTCTCTGGGCTGCACCCTGAGCAGAGTTGGCGTGCCGATTGTTTTATGTGCCGTGGTAAAGGTGTGGATCCGGTGGCTAACCTTGAAGCCCATATTTGCTGCATTTGATCATCGATACCACGCAAGCGCACATCGTCGATGTTGCCAAATTGCAGTTTATTTTCGAATTATTTGCAGTTGAAATTTTTTTTTTGAGTGTTAATCAATAATAATACAAATTCTATAATTAATTTAATAATTGCAGATTTATCTTGATATCCAAAATTAAGGTAAGAAGAATAATGAAGATTGTGAAATGAAAGTATTATGAATATATAAAATTGTAATAATAATAACATTTATTTATATATTTACATATTAGAATTAAAAATTATCATGTACGGATTTTTTCTTAATGGTTTTAAACTTATTAGAATTATTTTATTTCTTTCAAGTTATTTAATTTCTAGTTATTTACAGGCAACAATAGTTTTGATTATATGTATTGATATGTTTTGAAATACTACCATGACGAGTCTTATAAAACAATACATGTCAATGGGAGATATAGAGGTATCATTTTACCTATAATGTTACTAATATAATATACTTTGATTATAATGTTTGTATCATAATTTCTTAAAAATATCAAGTTAGTGGATTAATAGCAATTTTACGAAGAGTGTGTTGATAAGACTAAAATAAGCTTTATGTTTTATCTTTTTCTCTTTAGAAGGGAGATGGTTTGTGTCGTAGAATACATTACTTATATTCTTTTCTTAATTTACTGTAATTTCTTGTATCCTATAATGACAAATCTTGACAATATGGTGAAGGTTGTGTTTTGATCTTATTATTTTTATAAGAGGTTTTATACCTGTGTTTATACAAGACCAACTTAAGATTAGTTTGTAATTAGTTTGTGATTTATATTAAAGATCTTTCTTATAATATTTGTCTAATTTTATGTCTTATTATAAAGACAAAAATATATATTATTATGTCTTAATCTTAATACTATATTATGCTTTGTCTGAAAAATAAATGTTAAAATATCTTAATTTTGTATAACCTATTCCATCCTTCCATTAGGAAAAATATGGTTTATAAATTATATTATGCTAAGAAAATCACATAAACTAGGTGTAAGAATAGAGAAATCTTAAGGTAGCAGAAACATTAATGCAATATATGTATAAGCAGAATTAAACAAGGTAACTGTAAATGTTGCTGAAGCTGATTCTACAATTTTAATTACGGAGGCTAAAAGGCTTTTTAAGGCATCCGTAGTTTTGATGGAATGTTAAAAAAAACCTATTATGAACATGACATGGAGCTACAGCCTACAGCATTTAAAAATTAAAAAAAATAAAAACTTGGACACATCTCTTTTAATTTCCCGAATTTTTAATAAAGCACTTTTGAAACGTAGCATAATAATCTAGAGCAAAATCTAGAGCAATTAGATTAATTATAGGAATCTAAAGTTTTATTTTTATTTAATTTTTTTGACTATGAAAATACATAATAAGCGTTCACGTTTCACGTGTTGTGCGAAATATTAAAATAATAATATAAATAATATACCGCGTACTATGATTGAAAAAAATAGCGTCAGCGATGACTATGAAATGGAGATCGCTGTCATTTTATATGGAAAATGTCCTCAATCGTCATTTCCCAGCCAAATGGACACCGTTTTTCGATCATACGGTATATATTGACCAAAAAAAAACACTGAAAAGCACATATTGGTTTTCTACTGAAAATAATTCCAAAACAACTTGAAATCTGGCAACATCGAAGATGTGCACATGCGTAGTGTCTGTGACTATATGCAGCAAAAACTCGTTTCAAGGTCAGCCACCGGATCCACACCATTACCTAAACTACATTACATGTAGTTAATGTAGTTTATGTAGAGGGTGTAGTTTATGTAACATATGTATGTAACTTTCAAATATCAAAGGTTAGAGGTGAGGTTATAATAAGTTGAAGCTTTAGAAAACACATAATGTATTTAAGAAAACAGAAGAAATATGGCTTTAAATCATAGATTTAGGAAGAACAGATATCACATTGTGCATTTTAACCCGATCAAACAATCGGAGGTTGACTACGTACTGTAAAAACCAAATGAGATAGAGAAGGCGACATTGCCACATCTCAAATTTGCGCCTATCTGCTTAGTTTGATTTGTAGAAAAGGTGACTTTAAAACCTTCACCGGATATCAATAAATCTCAATTTCTTAATTAAATTAATAGTTTATTTTTAAAGATGTATGCGTGATTAACCAGAGGATATATGCGTTACTATTAAAGGACATGTTTATTGTTTAATGTGCTGAAACGTCTAGAACTATTGGCAACGTCGCTGCTAGTCTTCCAGAATGAAAATGAGCCGTCCGTCCCACCACCCCTCGCAACGACCATTGGTCCGTTATAGCGTACTACGTTTAGCTTACGGTGTGTTTGTAGTCGGAATCAAGTCCGAAGTGAACTTTTCAGTGTTTTTCAGTAGTTTTTGCTTTTGTTTAACGTACTTTTGAATCTGCGAATTTTCAATATGGTACGACAGTGTCATATGTGTGGAAAAATAAGCTCAAATTACCCGAATTTGTCTTTTCACAGGTAGGTATTGTTTCCGCCGCGCCGTAATCGCCGTACATAGGCGTCCCACAAGGGAGCCTCTCACAATTAAAATAATTTCTAATTATATTTGTTGAATTTTGAGCTATTAAAACAGGAACGTAGTAGCCGGTAATTGAATTATTATTCGACTCAATTACTACTTAACTGTTGTAGATCATAACAAATTTGAATATAAACGTTGCATTTGAAACTTTATTATAAGCCAGAAAGTGACATTTTTTTCTTAAAATTGCGTCATATTTTGGTCATTATATACGATATTCTAAAGGAATTTTGCTCAACAAATACGTAGGTGTTTACCCGCCCTTTTCTACATTTTATTGCATTATTATATCTGCCCCTTCGGCCTCGTTTAAACAATTTTTACCACCGTACAAATACCTCTTCCTAGAGTTATTTGTACGGTGTGTTTACCTTTTTTTTAAATGGGACGAATTGTAAATAATTTTAGGCTACTAGTTTTATACATACCTATATACAGAGTGACCCAGGCCTCCAAAAAGCTTTTTACCTATTACGTTTTTGGTTTGTCGCACATTTTCAAAATATGTTTGTCAACATACACGGTGATTCAAACCACAATACATATGCTTAATACAGTTCATGAAGATTCAGATATTTTTCTAAAATTTGATTGTCTGATGAAGCTACCTTTAAAAGTAATGGGTTTGTAAATAAACGTAATATTCAATATTATGCGACAGAAATCCCATACTGTAGCACACAGATTTGATACTTTTAATGATAAATGCCTTCTATTGAGAGACTAAAAGGTAATTGCGTCGTATCAGAGCCATCATAATACAAGAAGAAGATCGAAAGTCAAATCTTGTCTTATATTTTCAAAAAAACACAATTTTCTCATTAAATATTCATTTTAGGTATAGGAAGTTATTAATAACAGTACTTCACAGAAAGCTATCGATTGCGAACTAACTAAATCGTTACTAATTACTAATTTTGAAAAGTTCTTTTTAAGATCAAAAAAGGTAAAACTAAAACCTAAACCATCATTTGAGATTAAACGGGAAGTTCTAAATAATGTTGCCTATTCTAAACAAGAAAAAATTATTTATAAGTTTTATAACATCTCTAATTAAATTTGGACGAAAAGAATATTTCTGTTTGCTCTAGGTAATTTTCTCAGGCAAAATACGTAAATAAAAATTACTTTTAAGTCAAAAAAAGTCAAAAAAGACTGTCCTTTTCAAAAAAGGACAGGTGGCAATCCTAGGTATTTCTGGAATGGAAATTTAATGGTAAATCTACAACTTTAGTTTGAAAATATGTTCCGGCCACCTATGTTTACAAAAATGTCTAAAATGTGCTTTACCATTGCCTCCATATTCTGAAAAAAAATTGACAGAAAAGTCACCAACCACAAACCTAATATAGAACTGTTTCAGAAACTTGAGTCACCGTGTAAATATTCAAAAGTAACTGAAAGTTTATATAGAAGTAACTGAAAGTTTAAATTGAAAATCGACGTTGGAGCGATTTTCGAAAACTACCTACTAACGTTTCAACTTAAGTATATATGGGATATTAATTATATTATTATATTAGACCATATAACAAAACTCATCTGACGAAAAAGTGTTAATGTAGTATATTAATATGGAGTAAAAATTTTATTAATTACTTTACTTTTACTTTACTAATTAAATTCCTTCCAAAAAACGATACGCTACTGGCCATTAGAACAATCCAAATGCGCCTAGTTGCCGGGGTCGGAAATTTTAGACTTCTCTGTCTCTTCTGTCCTTGTTTGACACATTGGAATGTTTGATACACTTCCAACGAGTATTTATGAATGAGATGTCCGGTCTATCTTTATAATGTCTTTGCTTTAAATATAACCATTCACATCATATTATTTAGATTCCTCATACAAAGCAAAATTATTCATAATATCAATAGATAGTTTATTAACGTAGTTTTCATGTAATTAATGAACGGGAAAAGACGTAGTTATTGAAGAAAAACTACACGTAGTTAATCAGGTATAAATTACGTCTTAATTAACTACTTCCAAACCCTGATTACACCTATACAAAGGAAAATTATTCATAATATCAATACATAGTTTATTAACGTAGTTTTCATGTAGTTAATGAACGGGAAAACACGCAGTTTTTGAAAAAAACTACACGTAGTTAATCAGGTAAATTTCGTCTTAATTAACTATTTCCGAACCTTGGAAACAAGTCTCGCCAAGTCGGTAGGCCGCTGACCATGATATGGCCGAGGACCGCGGTTCGGATTCCGTGTAAGCAAAGTAGGCACCGTCTAGATTACCCCAGCAGTCCCAGCAGCAAAATGGAGACGTTAACTTAACTAAAATACTTTTCGAGGCCGTATAGTCCCGGCAGTTTGGGCCGTAAAACCAATTATGAAAAGAAAACACTTTTAACATAACCTTACAATTTTAAAAAAATTGCTGCCTTCTGTGCTTGTGTCTGTGCTGCCTTGGTATCTCGGTAACTGAAAAAAATTAAAACCAGTTGTTTTAATGGCTTTGTTCACAAAATCTTTAAGCCCTCAACTATTTTTAAGAGTCGGAAAACATAGCACCAATTATTTTTTAATGTTTAATAAGAGGTAACTTATATAATATATTTATTTTAAAGATCAAATGGAGCATTGTTTTAGTTTTTCTAACATAGGAATTCATGGCAAATTAAAAAGAACCAGTATAATGTCTTATGTCCGAAATGTTTATACCAGTAATAATTTGTATAAAAGAAGAAAAACTGTCGAAGAAAGAGTAAGAATATATTATTTTTAAAGGTTTGTATTTTTAATTTTGTATCACAATTTATGTTATAGAAACAGCCAAGAATAATTCAGTATTCTCCAAAATCTAAACTAGAAATTGTAGATGTATGGAGAGGAATTACTTTAAATGAATTAGCCAGAGTACTGGAACGTGACATAGAATATGTGAAAGATTTATTTTTAAATCAGATACAAAACCCTAATACAATTATAGATGATGTTAGAGTACTTCAAGAAGGGATACGAAGGGGAGGGAAGAGAATTAGGATAGTCGGTATTTTACAATAAATCTATCAATTTATTCTTAATACAGTATTATCACCTTAATTTTTCTTTAGCTAAGCCCAATAATAAGATAGAAGAAAATATAGAAATTGATTTAAAGCCTAGACCTCCACCTAATAAAGAGGATCTCCAACCTCGTCCCCCTGTAGTTACTGTGATGGGACATGTAGATCATGGAAAAACAACACTTTTAGATGCTCTAAGGCATTCTAGTGTTGTTGAAACAGAGTTTGGAGGAATTACCCAACATATAGGAGCATTTTTAGTCAAGTTAGATTCAGGTGCAACAATTACTTTTTTGGATACACCAGGCCATGCTGCTTTTACATCTATGAGAGCAAGAGGTGCGAATGTTACAGATATTGTAGTACTAGTAGTAGCAGCTGATGATGGAGTTATGGAGCAAACAGTGGAATCTATACGGATGGCAAAAAATGCTAAGGGTAAAGATATTGAAGAGTAATATATTTTATTGTTGAATAGAAATAATTAGATGATGATTGTTATTTTCCTTTTAGTGCCAATTCTTGTAGCTATTAATAAAATTGATTCCCCAAAATCTAACATAGAAAGAACAGAACAAATGCTTTTAGAAGTGGGTATCCAACTTGAGAAATTGGGTGGAGATACCCAAGGCATTCCTATTTCAGCACTGAAAAAGAAAAATCTGAACAACCTCATTGAAGCTTTGGTTTTGCAAGCAGAACTACTTCAAGTTGGTGGTGACCCTACAGGTCCTGTTGAGGCTGTAGTAATTGAAAGCAATGTTCATCCTTATAGAGGAAAATTAAGTACAATTGTGGTCCAGAGAGGTAAAAAAATATATTACAAAATATTTATTAATCATTATCTTATTATATTAGGCACCTTAAAGAAGGGTGATATTTTGGTAGCCGGAACTGCAGTGGCTAAAGTAAGGACAATTAAAGATGCTGATGGAAATAACTTACAAAATGTACCACCAGGATATCCTGCTGAAATTGATGGTTGGAGAGATTTACCTTCTGCAGGTGACATAATACTAGAAGCTGAAAATGAAAAGCATGCTAAAGATGTTGTTAAAGTTGGTATATTGACATCACACAAGAGATAGTTTTTTTTTAAATTTTACATCTTATAGTTTAGACAATCAATACTTGAAAAGAAAAGAGTAGAAGAAGATTTAAAAGTTATAGAAGAAAAAAGAGATACCTATGAAAAAGAATACAAAGAAAAATTAATGTTAAAACGGCTGTCAGGGAGATATAAGGTAAAAAGGGAAGGACCAAGACAGCCTGAGTATGTAGAAAGTAAGTTAAATAATGTAATAAATATTTACATACATTAAATTTATACATTTCTCTTTCTAACCTTGTAAGAAACAACAGTGTTAATTTGTGTATCTTAATTTTTAGATAATGAACATCCATCCTTAAATGTTATTGTTAGAGCTGATGTAGACGGTACTCTAGAAGCCATTTTGGAGATCCTAGATACTTATGATTCCCCTGAATGCAAACTGGATATAGTAAATTATGCTGTGGGGGCAGTAACCCCAACTGACATTGAACTGGCTAAAACGTTTAAATGTGTAATTTATGCGTTTAACGTTAGCATTCCCCAAAATTTAAAACCGCTGGTAGAAGAAAATAATATACCTGTTAAACATCATAATGTAATTTATAAGTTAATAGAGGATTTTAAGGACGATATAAATAGCAGGTAGGGTATGCAATCAGGAATGAATGATATAGTTATATGCGTATATGTCATGATTCAAAGAATACAAGGTATGATATTGCGCAGGTTGGTCACTACGTCACAGGTGATAAACGGCACCATTGGTCGGCAAGCTCTGCGCGCCAATTTCAAATTGTCAAACAGATTGTGTCATCTGTGAAATTTGATTATGTCAAAATGTGAAAATAATTTTTCAAATGTCAAGCTCGATGATTTGACATAACTTTTGGGGTTATGTCCTAATTCTTCCCTATTTTAGGTCTTTTTTTATTAGTAGCAATTGACCAATATGTATATTTTTTTGTAGGGCGTATGACGTCACAGGTGGTATGTGCAAACTTAACAAAATTGGAGCCGCTATCGATCATACCTTGTTTTCTTTGTACCATGGTTATATGTCATATTATTTAGTCAGGGTGCATCCACATCTTACAAACAGAGTAACGAGCTTGAATAGATTTCCAGTAATTCTATTGGCTGAAATTTTTGACAGATGAATTTGACAGATAAAATTTCTGACAGATGAACTTTTCAGCCAATAGAATTACTGGAAATATATTCAAGGTCGTTGCGCCGTTACGCCGTTTCTAGGATAGTGTGGATGCACCCTCAGATGTAGCCTTGTAGTCAGGGTTGGGTAGGTAGAAAATTTTATATATTCTACCATATAAAATTTATTTTCTACATTTTTTACATATCCAGATATAGAAAATTAGTTTTGTATATTGTACGCCGTTTTTTCAGTTTATATTTATTTCAAATACTTTTATCACAACGATTAGTACAAGAAATATGCTAATAACGATAATCTCTAATTGTCATTTATTATTTAGCAAATGGATAGTATACAGGGTGATTCACGGACATGGCACATTAGACTTTTATTGAGAAGCGGTGATAAGATTTTTTTGAAAATTTGGATTTTTGCATAAAAAGACCTACCCCATCTGTCTAAATTATTTTCAGCATTACAGTGTTGCCGCTTCATACTAAAAGTAGCATCTTTGTTATTTTAAATGGAACTTTGTTTTTGTTAAGTAGCATCTTTGTTATTTTAAATGGAACACCCGATATATTATTATATACCGGGTGTCTCCGGTATATAATAATATACCGGGAATATATGGCATACATATAGTAAAATTGACAAAAACGTGATCTTAAATTTAGCACTGGTTAAATCATAAATTCGGCATATTGAAAGTTAAAATTTGGTTTATAGGTTAAGGAAAGTCGAGATATTTGATCTGTCTAAATCTGATTGGATATCAAACAGGGAGGTCAGGAAAAATAATTATTTCCGATTTTAGAAAATCGTTCTAATTATTGCTATTTTGAATTCAAGCCGAAGTATATTAATTAAAAAAATTGTAACCTAAATAAAATTGGTTTTCAACAATATATCATGTTCCTATACCTAAACCTTCTGGTTTTCTCAGTAAATCCATTTAAAAGATATAAAAAAAATTAAATCCATTTAAAGAATAAATTATTCTATTTTAATTTTTTCCAAAGAAAATCGTTACCATGACAAATATTGAAACTTTATAAAAACCCTAGATCATATATATACTTATAAAAACTACCAGTTATTATGAGTTTACGTGCTAAATTTCTAAAATTGTCATGGTAACGAAATTCTTGAAATGAAACTATAATAATAGAATTATTAATTTTTAAAAAGCTCTACTTTAGCTCTACTTAAAAATAAGATTTTTTCTTTGAAGTTCTAAAAGTCAAAACGCGTTTCTGTCGTAATATAATTTCGTTTTCGTTCTTTGATAGATTGTTGTGGATCTTTGAATAAGAAGACTAAGGAAGGAGCATAATGCTATCCATGTATTCATGCATGGTGGGCGGAAAAGCCACCATAAAAGCTCTCTAGGGTGGGGATCCTTGACAGTTCTGTTTGACGATTCATTTGACACATTTGAATTTGATTTGAAATTTTGTGGATTTGTCAGTCTTTACGGAGATTATTTTATGTTATTTATTATTTATTCTACTACTGATAGTTGTATAAAGGTAGTAAATCTAGATGGAAATTGTGGCAGAACTTAAATTAACAGTGACACTATCGCGATTTATCGAAAAAGACTTTAAAATAGTTGGTTTGGCTGCGTGCGGTAGATCTCGGCAAAAATTGAGTGAAATAATGGAACAACTTTTCGCTAGTAAGTGACTATATAATATACATACGTGTAGTAAACCGATCATTTATGAAATTCACTTAAATTAACTAAATTATATATTTTTCTTGCATTTTAGCTTTTATTTATTACTTGTCAAAGATTAGATGTCAAATAATTTAGATACGTTAATTTGACTTGCTTCAGTAGCGTATCGGATGTTTGTGTTAATAAATACTTATTATAACATCTATTTTTATTAGAATTATGTATTTTTATAACAATTTTAATAACTACCAACATTTATTCACAACGTAAAATAAAACAACAAATTATTGAGTCTACCCCACGTCTACCCTACATCATAGTTTTACATTTTTTAAATAAAATTAGAACGACACTGATAAACCGGAATTTAAGTCGGCCATATTTGAGGCCCATCGCGGTGTACCTAAGATTTTTGATATGCTCCTTCCTTAGTCTTCTTATTCAAAGTTGTGGATAGAATTTTAATTAACGTCATATTTTTTGTTGTTTTAAAATGTTAAAGAAGCACAAAATTTATTTAGTTCATTGCTTTAAGAAGATTCATTACTACGAAAAGGGTGATATTAGTAGTTATCGGAAAATGGGATACATTAGGGAGTTTTCGTTGCTTTAAAAAAATTCAACGGTACGGTTAACGGATACGTAACCATAACCGCTATTTTGACAGATAAAAAACAGTTTTCGGACTTTCGGTTCGGAGCCGACTTACGATACGATAACCGAAAACTGACAGCTGACTGAGAGCACAGCCCGTAGCGTAGTGTTTTGATTTTTGGTTTTTGTATTGTTGTTTGATTTGAAAGTGCTTTATATGACTTTATTGGGTATCGCTATATATTTTTCAACGTTGTGTTCTACTGCGCTAGTGCGCATGCGTACCGCTATGTTAACGGCTTTGGCTAACGTCCCTAAAATATCGGCAGTTAACGGTTACGATATACGATAATCGAAATTGAAATATCAAAGTTGTCAATTAGCGTTAACCGGAATTGCAATTTGTAAGCAACGAAAACTCCCTATTAACAGCAAAAAATATGACGTTAATCAAAATTAATATCAAAGAATATACCTAGCTAGAAAAAGAATGGACTCTGCCATACTGAAAAATGGTCCTACAGAAGTGGCGCCATCTATTGGGTAGGGCTTGTTTTAAATGGATCGAAGCGCGGGCTTTTTAAATGAGAGGATTTATTGAATTTTACTCTAAAATAATTAAATTTGATTATTAAATCTTATTTTTTACACGAATTCAACAATACTAATAACAAGTATCGTTGTGATGTGTCAGAAATAAGATTTAGCAGTATAATTTATACAATTATTAAATAAAATTAAAGCCAAACATGTATAAATATTATTTATTATTTAAAGTTTTTATTTATATGTCAAATATTTAAACATCGTTTATTATAATAAAACAAGACCAACGTAATACGCTCAAAGTTTTGTAAATGGAGTAAATATAAATAGGTACTTAAATGATGGCAAAAATAAAAGACTTACATGGGTCTTGTGCAGAACAGGTCCCCACGAAATCGTGGTTTTTTTAATTCTTAATGTGGATCCCATAGTTAATGGAATGGTTTAAAAGAAAAAAATTGTTGGATGAACCACTTTTTCTACGAAAAAAAATAATTGAAAATTCCAAATTTTCACTACATTTCAATGCGAAAACTCCCTATTATAACCTTCATAAAGACAGTAAAATACAAGGTTACGCACAGTGTTGCCATACTCACCCTGTGTAAAATCGACGAAAACGTTCTACGTTATATTCATTTTTTTTACATTTAGTACGCACTTTAAGAACACGAAAAATTAAAAATATAATAAACGAGGCAAAACAAAAACACTATAAAAATAAATTGACAATAAAATCATTACACAGTATTTAGCACAATTGTTTAAAAATATATTTTTCCCGGATTTGTTCAGTAAGATTCCGAAATCGATGTGATCTGCGTACTTCCAAACACTCCCCACCAACCTAACCTAACCAATGCATTAACACCCCCAAATAACCAGGCTAACCAATGCATTAACACCCTCCAAATAACCAGACTAACCAATGCATTACCACCCTCCAAATAACCAGAATATCTAACCCTAACCTAACCAATGCATTAACACCCCCAAATAACCAGGCTAACCAATGCATTAACACCCTCCAAATCACCAGGCTAACCAATGCATTAACACCCTCCAAATAATCAGGCTAACCAATGCATTACCACCCTCCAAATAACCAGCCTATCTAACCTAACCTAACCAATGCATTAACACCCCCAAATAACCAGGCTAACCAATGCATTAACACCCTCCAAATAACCATGCTAACCAATGCATTACCACCCTCCAAATAACCAGGCTAACCAATGCATTAACACCCCCAAATAACCAGGCTAACCAATGCATTAACACCCTCCAAATAACCAGGCTAACCAATGCATTACCACCCTCCAAATAACCAGGCTAACCATTGCATTAACACCCTCCAAATAACCAGGCTAACCAATGCATTACCACCTTCCAAATAACCAGGCTAACCTAATTGAGCCTAATGACAAAACTTCATTGATTACGCGTCGAAAAACAGTATATATTAAAAAAACTTATATTTTCGTAGAACCTGAAAAATCCGCAAATTTTATTTCAGAAATTGCTTTAAAATAATCCACACTAACGAATAAGCTACTAGACAGTTCAATTTTTGTTGCACTAAAGTGATAACTTACCGTTTTAAGTCCCTCCACAACAACTTTATTTCAGAAGAAAATCATATAAAGTAATTTTATTGACAACGTCGCAAATTCTATGCGAAGGCCATAGATGACATACCGATGATCGATTAACTGTCAATCGAAAAAGTCATAAAATTGCTAGCTTGAGCTGATGTAAATAAATATATTTTCTTAATTTTTATGCTTACAAAGAAGATTCGTTACATTTTTGTGCTTAAATTAGATCATTCCACGTCTATATAAGGTAATAAAGTACTAATATGTGATGTTTTTACTGAATCCGTGTAGAAAATTTAACATATTTACTGTCCGTCGCCTGTACCTAAAATACGTTTTTTGGCCGCTTTTTAAAGATAAAACACATTCATCCAACAATTTTTATGCTTAAAAATATTCAGTTTAAGATAATCTTGCAAAAAAATCCCAAAAAAGTGTTAAATGCGTGGGGACCTATTGTGCACCAGAGCCGACTTACATTATATTTTTAGGGCCACAAACAAAAGGAATTGTCTAATTAAAACACATACTTATAACAAATTATAGTTTGAAAAACGTTTTGATAATCATTTGATAATATTATGATTGGCGCTATGACAACGACAATATTTTTGAGAATTTGACAATAGTATGACAATGGCCGTTGGAAACTATGGAAACTACAAAAAAATTCTGATTTAACGCCATGTGGCAATAACTAGTAGCAACTTCTTAACCTAAAAATTAATTGCACTACCACCTAGCGCCTGAGGCTGGAACTATTTTATTTGAAGTTTCCGTGGAAACGGTGGAACCGCTTTTGCTATTTCACTTTCCCGCCCCTGATTAATATTAACCATCTATCAAAGAATGAAATCGAAATAATTATATTACTATAGAAACGCCTTTTTATTCTTAGGGCATGCTTAGGGCTTAGAAAAAATTCAACAATATTTTTATGTTTTTTTTTCTAATTTTCTCTAAAACGATATGGAAATTTCGAAAAGTATAATAAGAGATTAACCATTTCAGAATAAGCCAAATTTTTTATGAAGAATGCATTTTTCTCAAAATGACAATAATAAAAAGATGTTCCTCTTGGGAAGACAATCCGGGGACATACTGTATACGTATAATAATAATTATTGTAGTTTGTAGTTCTTACTTTCATTATGTTAGATGTTATGTTTTTTTTATTGTCCTGTTTGAGTCTTACCAAAGTTTACAGAATTACACAGAATTATTCTGTAAACTGATCATACTATTGAAAACTTTTTTGTTAAATGTAAAACATCTCTATAAAATGTGTCTCTTATCTTCAGGGATAGTACCGTCATTGAATATCGAGATTGCGCGCGCACACATATTACAGTTTTAATTATTGAATTTAACAAAAATACCAAGATAGAAACTTCTAAAGTGAAAAAATGACTTAAATATACACAATTAATTTTGTACCTGTTCTCAGATTTTATACATTTTCTTCTTAATATTCTACATATTCTATATTTTCTAGGCACTTTTCTACATACACCTAGAAAATTAATTTTCTACGCGTTGTTACCCAACCCTGGTTGTAGTCGAAAAATCTGACCAAACCAAATCAGATTTTTTTTTACTTTAACCGAATTTTCATAATAATTAATGACTTATCTCCAGTCTTATCCTAAATGGCTACATTAACTCTGGCTAAACGTAACTCTAAATTTTTACGACGTGTATCGATTTTCCACATTAGACACCATATATTTTGTTCTGTAAGAAGGCAGAAATAACTGGAAAGGCCTGATCAACATACAACTGTTTCAAAAAGATACAAAACCAGCCTTAACACCGGCATATTTTACTTTGCACTGATTCAGTGCAAAATGCAGTCCATAAATTTATATCTCCAACCGTTTGTCGCTTAAATTCAATAAAAGAATCATTAAGGTAACAACAGAATATAGCGCTAAATATTACCTAGATAGGGATTTTTTTGTTACTGAATATGTGGTGATGTAGTGTTTTTTTTTAATTCTTGATTTAGGTTGCCTAAAAAGGAAGTAGAGATGGTACATGGAAGTGCAGAAGTACTACAACAGTTTGAAATAAATCAAGGTAGAAAAAAAGTACCTGTAGCTGGATGCAAATGTACAAAAGGGTTTTTGAAAAGAGACGCACTGTATAGATTAATAAGAAAAGGAACTATTATTTTCGAAGGTCAGTCTATAGGAAAATTAATAAAAGTTGGCGTGCACGTCAATGTTGCCACAGCTACTGTTTTTACTTTGACTATTGACAAGTCGCAAATAAAATTTGTTAATTTGGTTTGGTTTGGTTTGGTAGACACAATACATATACAATTTTTTTATATGTATGCAAGCGATACAAATTAAACTTCTAGTTACGTAATCGAGGGCGCGATTTTTAAATTCATTGTTGCCAACCATGGACATGTTCGGCGCCGGGTCGACTAACTGCAATTTGAATTTCCCGCTAGCGATTCAGGTGGTAGTTCTGCTGTAAAAAATGTCAAGTTGATACATTTATTTATTTATTTTCCTTGTTTTTGTATTATGAGTTTCTAGTTTAAATGTAGAATAATGTAGTGTATATAAATAAAATAAATTGTGTTGTGATACTTTAAGCTTAAACATTTTTAATAGCAGACCTTTCAGTCGAACATTGTTCTTTTGAGAACCTCTTTTAGTGCGAAGTGTACAAGATACCTTGATAGCAGTTGCAAAAAACTCATCGCAACCTTAAGGTGCGTATTCATTATCCGCACGAACGAACGAACGAACGAACGAATGTTCGCTAGTGGTATGGACGGGGACCGTACGATAGAACCGCACGAGAAGACCGGACCATAGACCGGACGCATTTGTTGGCGAACGCCTTTGATGTACCGACTCGAAACGGATGGTCGAGCGAACGAACGCACGAACGGCCGCATGCGTTCGGTCCCCGTCTAAATATACCGCACTTTCATTCGTTCGTTCGGATAATGAATACGCACCTTTATTAGAATATTTTGAACGGGAAAGCGGTAGTAATGACCCCCATATGTCCCTTAAGTGCTGTTTATATATTTATAATTAATTTATTTTTGTTTCCTAAAATATTCTGATTAAAAGAAAATATGTAAAAGTGGTCAACGATGTGCCGGCCAAGCTTAATAATGTGACTAAAAGTTTATTTGGTATGAATCATACATTATTACTTGTCTGTCAACCACTTCCCTTTAAAAACACCGACCAATGAAAACTTCTTCAGGTTTGGCATGCGCAATTAAATGAATATCCAGGTGAAATAGACTTATGTAGAATTCCATATTTCTCTTTCGCTGTTTGGGCATCACTTTTTAGAGATGAGGCTGAGTATATTTTATTTATAGTGGAGTGCCCAGAGACTTTTACCTCGGAATTCAATTACTGTGAATGTATTAATGTGAAACCTTTTGTATTGTATTTTATAGATAAAATGCTAAAATGTTTACCCATTTTTTTTCGTTGCTTTTAATTTTTTATTTTAGTAATTTTAGTAAATTCTTAATTATTTCCTTCTTAATTTTTTTATTTTTTTTATTTCTTTTTCTAAGTAAATTTATTGAAATAAATAAATCTAATGCATAAGCTATACCTATTTTGCTTATATTCCAATCACTGAAATTTTGATTGAAATCGAATGATACAGGGTGGCGCGTCATATACGACTCGGTTTTTGCAAGGAGAACAAAAGTTTATATTGAAGTGAAATTTTGTGAGCTTATGTAAGTCAATTTAAAGCATTTTCTAAAATTATGTAGAGTTCTACAGGGTGTCCCAAAAAAAGTTACACATCAAAGTTATGTTTTTTGTAATGGAACACCCTATATATTAATTGATTTTTGGATTCTAGTAAAAAAATAAAGGTTTGTTTCATTAAAAAAGTATATGGCTAAAATGTCTAGTTTTTGAAATACATTCACCGCCACGAAAATACGCACCTTAAAACTTTGATATATTTTAAAGGTTAATATATTTTGTATTAATGGGCCGATTTTGATGATTTTTAAGCAGTGTGTAGCCAAATTATTTGACTTTTTAGTATCTTTTTATAAATTAAAAATGAAACTCCCCATCTGTTAATTATACGAGGGGAAACAAAATATTGATATTTTGCTGAAAGTTTGAAACGCCCTGTGGAATATGTTAAAACGGCAAGAAATATAAAAATAATTTTATAATCTAGATACATCCTTTCTCGATGGTTTGCTATTTGGTTCATCTTATTACCGTTATTTTTGTTGGAAATATTTGCTTTTGAAGAAGACACTAACATTTTTTCGTAATTTTTACATTAAGACCATGCCTTTCTTTTGGGCCTAGTCAATACATCTAGTAAGTTGTAGTCCCGAAGCAGTGGTGCAACTTTGTTCATGTTTCAAAGCGATAGCAAAGTAATTTGTAGCTTGATGCACTATGGTCAGTAGCAACATCGATTCGTAGCGATATTCTGATTTCTCGCTTTGTGGCGAGGCGACAGTCTAGACACGTCTGCAAGAGTGTGATAGTGATACCATATTTCGCAGCATTTGAGCGACAATAGTTTTGCAATGAACATAGTATCGATGTGGCTTCGACATCGCTTCTAAACGATCGGTTGCTAACTTGAAGAAAGTTGCACCCCAGGCCTTCTTGACATAAGATTTGCTTCATTTAATCTTCTTCTTATAGTCCGTTAGTTAATATGTACGTTTCTTAAGTGCAATTCATTATCAATTTGAAAAGCTGGCAAACGGCGCCGGCGGTTTCATAGCGATAAACTTACAAGTTCTCATACGAAGGTTCCTGGACGTCTAGATTGACGTCCTCATGGACGTGGACATAATTCAAAAACCACTTAGTATACTCTATGGTATTAAGGTATTTTTGGAACCGGAATTTCATAGCAAATTCACTGAACTAAGCAAATATAGATATGTATTTGACTCACCCTGTATATCTATAAAAATATTTTTGAAATGTAAACTACCAAACTACAACACATATTTTGTAAAAGGTTTGGAGTGAAAATCTCAATAAGAATCCTGATACAGAGCTTTTCCGGAATACGGAGCCATATTATATGTATGCATTTGTATATGTGTGTTTATTTAAATACTAAAGTGAAAGCAACGAATTTAAATGGGTAAACTTTGTAATATATCTTATTAACAATAGAATGCAAAAAGTTTTATAAAAATTCATTCACAGTAAATGAATTCCGAGGTTTGTATCCCATAAGGGCGTAAAGCACTCCACTATTATACGTATATGAAACATAACTATAATTACAATCCAACCAAACTTTTCCATCGAATTGCCATCGTAAAACGTTCAGATAATGATTTTTTGCGGCTCCAACTTAGATCCTATTCTCTTTCTCTCTTGTCATTTTTGATGGGTATTCTGAAAAGATTGTGGATGTACCAACAGCATAGAACGATCGACAAGTATGCAAAGAAAGCAATCTGCTGCAATACTATGTACTGAGTTTATGGACTCAGTACATAATATTGCAGCCTATTTGCCTTTTTTGTGAGACCAGAAGGCACTATATTATGGTGCCTACTGTCTCTATGTCCTTTACCAGTGACCCCGAGAAAAAGAAGGCTAAATAGGTTATATGTGTGACGTCATTGTCAACTATTTATATTTGTAGGTACATAGTAGACACAAACTTTGAATTATTCGGTCATTAACAAGTACACACATTTTTAAAAATTATCAATAAAATTTTGACGGTAAGGTTTGTTCCGCCGCGCCGCCGCCGGTCGATACTCTAGCTATACTCAATTGGACATATGTTTATAACTGACGAGATATATCTATGTTCAATGTTTCTTGAAAAATGTGATACGGAAAATTATTAAATATTATGTGATAATAAAAATAAGTGAATAGAAAATATTATTTTTAACTATTTGAATTGTATTAATTAAATGAGACCCCAAATATAATATAAGCTAACTGTAAATATACAAAAAGGATCAAAGAAATCAGTAAAAAATATAATATAATAATTGAGTATAAATCAGACAAGTTGTTGATATCGACTATTTAGTGGTTTTCGCATTTTATTGCAATAAAAATCGCAGGTTTAGTAAACAAAACGAAAATTTAATTTCAGATTTATCGAAGTGACCAAACGATTTAACCAAACCAAACCAAACACTAAAAAATGTCAGATCACAAAAAAATATCAAAAATGGTAAATCTCAGATTTACAAAGAAAAATATCATGGCAACCTTCAACATTTGCCATGGCTACCAACATAAAGCCTTTTTTATCAGTCATGTCATGAATCAGTGAATAAATTCATTTATGTCATACGACAGCGTTCCGTTTTTTAACCAGGATATGAGAGTAAGTCTCAAACGATTTTTTATTTGTTAGAAATTTGATTTGGTGATGACGCGCACGCCAACATTTATCGATTCCTCTATATGTTGGATCATGAGCTAAAACAACTTATTTAGCTTATTCTGCATATGCACAGGAGTCTAATAATGTATGTGACATTTTAAACTACTATTAATTTTAGATATTTTTTCCGTAAAATTGTTTTCTTATTTTGTTTGAATTGCATATACTTTATTTTGCAGGTGGTTTATCTTCCATGAGACATTTGAAAAGTGAAGTTGATGTAATTAAAGCTGACACAGAGTGTGGACTGCAACTTTCTGATCCAGATATTAAATTTGAAAAAGATGATGTTTTAGAATGTTTTGAGAAAAAATTGATGCCTCAAAAGACCGATTGGGATCCTGGATTCTAATGTCTTTTTTAACTAGATTTTTTATTGTATATTTTTTACAGTTAAATAAATTATTTCACTTCTAGGAAGTATTTTTCTTTAATCGAGTCTTATGATATATTATGAGTTTATACCACACAATTGAAAAAAAAATGGCTTTACAGATGTTAGGAACAATTTTGATTATAAATTACAACTTTTCATGTGATGCCTCAATGACAAATTAAACGAGCTAATGCAGTCTGATCACTCGCGAGGTTTAAAAACTTGATTTTCATGCATCCGTTATCCGTTGATACGGTGCGCGGTGGTCCGACGCGACGGCGCTCTGATTGGTAATAGCTGTAGATTAACGGCCGTATTCATAGTCGAGCGCCAGTCGCCCGCCGAAAAGAAGCGCTCGCCGAAGATTTCTCCGGCGAGCGCTTCGATATCGGGAGAGAAAAAAAGCTCTTTCATAGCCGGCCGCCAGCGCACCGCTGGCTGGCGAAAATGACGGCGCGTCGCCAACAAAATTTCACTTCGGGTGAAGAGTTTTAACAAGTTTTAACAACAGGGAACATGTTTTCTTCCTTTTTCTACACAAAATCGGTTATACGAACTTTAACATTCTCTAAATATTTAAATATTTTATTGATATTGGGTAATTTAAATATTTTATTGATGTGTCCATTATTTTGTTATAATTCGTTTTAAAGTAATGAATAATATCTTCGTAATCCTTCACTTATAGTAAAAAGATTTACAATTTTTTACATACATATTTTTTTGGCTAGGTATATTTTTGGGTCATAATAAAAAGGATATTAAGATAATTTACATAATGGGGAATTCCATAGGTCTCTTCGGTTATTTGAAAGTTTTATGGATTCGTTTTTATTACGTTTATAAATTTGTATAGACCTTAAGCTTAACCTATTGGTGCTGTGTTAAGGATTTTAAAATTATTTTAAGGGAAAATATGACCAGAGTAGAAGTAATTTATATTTTTAAATTGGCTCTATTTTTGTTTTGTGTAGATGACTGATGTTTTGTGGATTTGGTATATTTTTTCCAGTTTGTGTAAATTACAAAGAGAATTAATGTAATAAACGTAAAAATAATAGAAAAAATAAAAAAATTATAAACATAACAAAAACAAAACGATAAAACATTTAAATGGTCAAATAGACGGACGGAATTCATATGTCTCAAATGTAATGAATAATGGCCTCACACAAAAATACGAATGTCATCGTTCTCGTTAATCGTCACAATATTATAAATATCCATACTTAATTCAGTTTGCTTGGTGCTTCTTTCAACTAGAGAAATAAACCAGACTAAATTGGCGGGCCGCCCGGAGATGGTAAGGACATGCTCCAGTCGCCGGCCGAAAATCACCGGATGGTGTTTAAACTGCGCACGTGTCCTTCGCCTGGAGATCGACTATGAAACGGAAAAAAAATGCTTATCCAACCGCCCGCCGGCGAGAGAGCGGTTACTCTATATGACGGATGTGCGCACGCGTTACTCGGAGAGCGCTCGACTCTGAAATAAGAACGAAGAATTTCGGGACAACTCCCGCCAGTGGGCGGCTGGCGATCGACTATGAATACGGCCGTAAGAGGTCATGCGTTTTCGCGCCACTTTTCATCCGTAAATTTCATAGAGGTAAATTTTTTACTACAGCCCGTCAACGGAGAAAGATCGAACGATAACGGACGTTTTGACACTTTTTTGACAAATTTAATTTAATCCTAATAAAAATATAATAGTACAAGAGCTAGCAACGTCGCGAAAACGAGAATTTTAAGAAAGCTGGACTTTAATAAATCTTTTGCTACGCGGCCGTGCTCTCCTGACCAAAGTTTGGACCGTTTGGCTACCTGTAGACTACTGCCACATCACATCTGTACAGGGTATTCCATTTTCGTGTGTTTATGGGATTTCTCGTTTATGAATAGAGATACAATGATGCGGTTTTCACATTCCTTTGCTACTTTATTCTGAAACTAAATATGCTATACATATGTTTGTACTAGGCTTCTTAGTTCCTGAAATACAGTGATACGGCGAATTTGTGACGAGCAGTAGTAAGCAGATGTTGAATACAGATGTGATGCGCAAAAGTAAACGCAACGTCTACCGACAGTCAGACATATATTAAAGAACCTGATTTCTTAAAATTCTCTCTCGAAAACACAGAACACACAGAAAAAGTAAAACAGTTTTAGTTAAAAATGTTTTCGACTAAAACTGTTTTCATTTGATGACCCAATTGCAAATTAAATGGGCTAACGCACATTGGCCACTCGCGAGGTTCAAGGCAAGTTTCGGCACATTTAGTCATCACAGTCGAGCTAAGTCAGGCTGATCGACGTCGATCGATAGATTGTCGTTTTATATTAAATCATATTTAGTCGCGGTCGCGACCCGCGTTCTGTATCTGCTGCCGTGCATATCTAATTATAAACAATACATTTTGCTACTCTTAGAAACATAATGTTTTTATAAAAGACGAAAACTTCTTAAAAACAGATTCGCTCTTTCTGTGTGCGTCTAGCCTTAGCAACTTTAATGAATTTAAGCCAAAGCACTAATTATTTGTATAGAGTAGACAACTAAATAAATTCTAAAATATATGTATATTTTGTATAAATTAAATTTGTAATACACATATTTATAATATATTATAGAAAAATTAATTAGTATCTTCTACATAACTACAATATGATCGAAAAAAAAATAGCGTCGGCGATGGTTATGAAATGAAGATCGTTATCATTTTATATGTAAAATTATATGGGAAATGGCACTTATCGACATTTCAAAGCCAATTGGATATACCTTTATTATAAATCTTCGGTTTTGTATTATTTTCACTTTCACATAAAGAAATAAATATTAATGATTTTTTTACAAAAGAACTCGTGTAGATCCCAAGACAGGGGGTTGTCAATCGCCACTGAGACAAAGGGAGAGTAAAGAAACCAAGAAACAACCTGACTCAACTCCATCAAAGGGCAAGAGAGGGAGCGAGAACCTCTCACCTCTTATCCGGCAGGGAGAGAAAAAAGCCAGGATGGAAAACCATCCAACACCGGGAGGCAAGCCACGTATCATCAGTTTTGCCGCTATTGCTGGACAAGTGAAAATGGCGGTGCTGCCAAAGGATTTCCCAGAGATTGCTCTGACCACCGACCAGCAAACGTCTCTAGAAGAGGCTATACTGGACGAAGTAGTGGCGATTGGATCGCAACACAACGATCTACAAACTGTGGGTCAGCTGCATTTTGCGGGGATACGGGATACACTTTAGGGTGGGCATGATCCTCATAGATTGTGTATCTCAAGAATCGGCGAATTGGTTGGTGGAAATCGCACCTAAGCTTAAAAATTGGCAAGGGCCGGAACTGGTTGCAGTGAAAGGAGAAAACACTCCTAAAGGGGCCATAACGGTCTTTCTGCCGAGGAGCAAGGGGAAAGACACCACCTACCTGCTGAGCCTTATCCAAGGTCAGAACTTCAATGTAAGGACATCGAGTTCGCGAGTCATCAACTCGAGGGCGGAGGGTCATGGTCAGGTCCTCACAATAGGAATTGACCTCAAATCCAAGGAGGCAATAGAGAAAGAGAGACATATCCGCTATTATAGATACGGGACAACACCGGTATCAAGTCTAAGGAGAGACCAAGTTAATAAAGAGGTGGAGAAAATAGAAACAAACCCTCCAGCCTCCACCTCACGGGTTCCTCAGCCGGAGGCAAGCTCCTCGACTGTGAAGAGCGGCACGGAGGGCCAAACTCCAACCATGGAAGGGTGTGTACCCTCGGTGGAAGAACTGTTGTCACAGGAGGATGGGAAATACCTTGTCCCCTCTACAACAGGGGTATGATTGTGTGATGACTCAAGGAAGGGGGCACAATAGATCTTTAAGGTCGCAGTGATTAACCCCCCCCCCCCTCTTACTCATTCTACATTCTACAATCGCCACTGATATAGCCAGTCCAACCCTGCGTCATTGTACAGGGTGGACCATTTTGGTTGTTTCTATAGGGTATCTAGGATATAGTGGCTATCTTGATCGGTTTCCAAGCTACAGGGGGATTCTCAAATTTTGTACTTTTTGAAGATGTGCGATAGTTTGTTTATTTCAGCAACCACGAAAAAATGAATTATTCATCCATAAAGGCACTTTTCTGTGTAGAATGCAGTGGCGTAGTCAGACTTTTTTCGAAAAATATATTTTTTTTAGATATTAACTATACTTATTATGTTTTTTTGAAATATATAACCCCCTGTATATTTTTAAATTTCGTGATTCAGCTTGGCATGGGCTTTTCGAAAATATATAACACTCTATATTTATTTTCTAACCTCAACATTTCAATTTTTTTTCTTAAAATATCCAGTTGTAGGCCGCGCCGAGTAACAAAGTAAACGGTTGTCATGGGGCGGATTCAGTAAACACACCGGGATCAACCGGTAATGACCTACTAATAACTTTTTATAGAACGATCGAGACAACAAAAAATGTGACAGGTGACAATTATGACAAACTGCGCCGACCGGTATGTACATAAACCGGAAACAAAATACTCAAGTGATCGGTGACCATAACAGGTCAGTTACCATTGGCATTCACTTTAATTTTCTACACCGGTGTGTGTACTGAATGCGCCCATGGTGATCGGAACATGCTTTTGATGGATGCGTGACATTTCATTTCAACAGATTGAAGTGTGTGTATTTAGATATTAACTATACTTGTTTTTTTTTTTAAATAGGACCCCCTGTATATTTTTAAATTTCCTGATTCAGCTTGGCATATCGAAAATATATAACACTATATATTTTTTTCTCTATTAACTTTAAAATTCCAATTTATTTAAAGATATCGACTTTCCTTTTGGTAGGTCATGCCAAGTATTAAAGGAAACAAGCGAATATCTACTTTCAAATTACCCCATGTATTAGCAATTAAATAAAATCGAACAATACGAAGCAAATAAAAAATAAGTGTGACAGAAACAGAAGAATATATTTTAATACAAACTCAACAGGTTACTTCAATCGGGTTTCTCAGCTAGTATAAAAAAATAAAAACACAAAGACTACATTAAATGTTCAAACTGCTTTCTATTATTATCTAGGCAGAGTTGGCACCGTCTCCGCACGCCGCTGCTAACAGCATTTCGAATGTGTATGTTGGTTACACTTTGCAAAGCCACAACAAAACTATCTTGTAACTCTTCTAATGTTCTATTTGCATTTCGATAAATTTGGTTTTTCAGAAAGCCCCAGAGAAATAAGTCCAAGGGAGTGATATCAGGTGACCTAGATGGCTAGGATTAAACTATTTTTTAACCTTTTAAAAATGGCTGGGGTTGGTTGCTCGCGCTTAGGATACCGCTCAAAATATAAATCAGCAGCCATTTGCTTATGTTTGTTAGGCTCAATATAGGATTATAGGTAACATTCTAAAAAAAAAAAAACAACGCTTTATTGTACAAAAAGCTAAAACAGCTTCATCGACAAAGCAAAACAAAAAAAGCACAAAAACAAATATACAAATAATAAAAAAAATGTCATACAATACAAATCAATTAAAAAAAAAATTACGTCATAAAATTATAAATAAAACATATATGGACATTGCAGAACACAGGCATATCTAGAAAATTTTACAAAAGGAAAACTGTAAATGGATAAAATCATGTTATAATAACATAAAATCAAGAGTTATAAAATATTAAATACTAGACCTTCAACCAGTGTGTGAGATGATCAAAATATTAAAATTAAAATTCTAAATTGTTCATGATTAAACATCAACAAAAAAGTCGTTTACCGCATATAGGGCTCTCTCCAGTAAGTATGATTTCAGAGCTTTGCGAAATGCGGGAAAGAATGAAAGTGACTTGATATTCGAAGGCAAATGACTGTACATTTTCTTGGCATTGTACATTTGAGCCCTTTAACCAGTTCTGAGCTCGGGGTTGGCAGATAAATATCGTGCTCCGCATTCCTAAGTGGATAGTTATGAGAAGGCCTTTCCGGAATAGAGAATATGTGCTTGCGGATTAAGCAAACGGATTCAAAAATGAATAAGGAAGGAAGAGTCAGTATTCTGAAATTTTTAAAGAAATTCTGGCAGTGAGTTCTACTGTTCAGTCCCAATAAGTATCGAACTGCTCTCTTTTGTAACAAAGTAAACGGTTGTCATGGGGCGGAAAGTTTGAAAATACGATCAAATTTTGTCGCGCAGCAAGTACCCCAGAATGGAAGGGCATAACGAAGATGCGACTCAAAAAGGGCATAATAGACCATTCTATAGGTTGATGAGTTAAGTACCTTAGACACTGATCTTAGCGCAAAACAGGCAGAGCTTAGTTTCTTTGATAAGGCTTCGATGTGCAAGTCCCATTTTAACGAGTTGTCCACAACAAGTCCTAAGAATCTCACAGAGTCCACGACGTCAATAGTGGTGTTATTAAGTACAAAAGGTTGTATAGTACTTTTATATGACAAAACTTTAGTTTTTGAAAGGTTGAGGCATAGGAGATTAGAATCGCACCAAGATTTAATGGTGCGTAAGTCACTGGATATAGTATCATATAGTGCCGTAACATCTGGGCCGCTCCAAGTGAAACTAGTATCGTCCGCAAAGAGGCAGATTTTACCGCTAATGTCTAGATTTGCAATGTCGTTGATAAACACCAGAAATAAAATAGGGCCAAGTACTGAACCCTGAGGGACACCACATTCTATAGGCTTACAAGAAGACATAGACGTATCAATCCTCACAAGCTGCCTTCTGTTGCCAAGATACGACTTAAGCCATTCGAGCGGCACTCCCTGAATCCATAGTATTGCAATTTGTTAATTAAAATATTATGATTTACACAGTCGAAAGCCTTAGAGAAATCACAGAAAATTGTAGCTGTAGAGTGATGGTTATTCAGGCTAGAATATACATTATTAAAAAGGTCGAACATAGCATCATTTGTGCAACTGTTACTTAGAAATCCAAATTGATGGGTAGAAAGTACTTTATATTTAAGGAGAAAAGATACAAGCCTTTTTTAACCAATCTTTCAATGATCTTAGATAATGTGGGCAGGAGAGCAATTGGGCGATAGTTCGAAGCTTGATCTTTATCTCCTCCTTTATGCAGAGGAATAATTATTGCTGTCTTAAGGCAGTTTGGAAAAACTCCTTTTTGAAATGACTCATTAATTAAAGTAGTAAGATAGATTAATGTACATTCCGGAAGTTCAGAGAACATTTTGAGAGTAAGCCCATCAGTCCCAGATGAGAATTTATTTTTAATACTTTTAATTGTACTACGGAGCTCATCTAATGCTACGGGCGTTAAGAAGAAACTGTGTAAATTCTCATTTGCTTGTGTTCACTAAATTTTTAGCTACATTAACAAAGTAAGTGTTTAAATCTTCAGGTGAATTAAAGACTGTGCCAGACGAAGAAGTCTTATTCCTTAAGTCATTTACAATAGCCCAAGTCTCGTTAGCAACATTACCGGATTTGGCTAGCCTCCCATTATAATAAATGTCCTTGGCAGCTTTTATAGTCTTACGATAAACCCTTCTATAAAGTTTCACGTAATTATGAAAGAAAACGCCTTCTGTGAATTTTTTGAAGGTGAGATAATGAGCGCATGTTCTTTGCAGATATACGCAAGCCTGTCGTAGACCAGGGTATACCTTGCTTACTTTTGATAGGCTTAAGAGGAAACGCCTTGCACGCCAGATTAGACAAGGTATTTATAAATCTAGAAAATTCGGAATCGACGTCAGCTGAGAGGACAACCCACTCAGTTGTTAGACATAGGTGGTGAAAATTTAGAAAATTTTTTTCCGAAAAAATACGGCCCAATTTGCGCGAGGTATTTTTGCATTTGGAATGTGGCAAAAACGTTGTCAATACTGCCTCATGATCAGAGAAACCTGAGTGAAGGACTCTACAGTCCACGAATTCCGGGTCAAAAGACGACACGACATAATCTATAGTACTAGAAAAAAAAATGGACTGGAGAGACTCCCTAGCTGCACACACACTGGAAAAGTCAATATTTAGATCGCCACACAAAATTAATTTACTTTTTATAGGTAGGGATTCAAGCAAGCTTAGCAATTTTTGACTGAAAATATGCACGTCAGCGTCAGGTGTTCTGTAAATACAAATAATATAAAGGTCAAAGAATTATGATAACCGATGGAAAATTCAAAAATTTTTTCTGATATTAGAGTATCGAACTTTGTTACTGCCGTAAAGTCGTTGTTAGTAGACATTATCATAGTACCTCCATGAGTTGAGTTACTTCTATTGAATCTAGTTACTGTAGTGTAATTTTTGACAAACACAGGCTCATCCATATTTAACCAATGTTCAGTTATGGCAACAATTTCTGGAAAATTGAGCTCTTCTAATAAAAGATATAATATATCCGTTTTATGTCTTAAGGACTGAATATTAATTAAAAAAACACTAAGCTCGCTATCGTCTAGTTTTTCAGAGGTTGCTTGATCCTCTGTTCGCGTCATTTTACCTAAAAAAAAATATTTTTATTTTTATTTGGAGAGCCATTGGAGAAATACTTGGTATGACTTTCCCTAATTCTCTGAAGCTGTTGAAGTTTTTCCGTTGAAAAGAAGGACCTGAAGGCAGAAAGATCCGCATCCACTTCAGCTGAGTCAATACCACATATTATATTTCTCAAAACTTTCAAATTTACTTATTTTTATTATTTAAAATACACACACTTCAATCTGTTGAAATGAAATGTCACGCGTCCATCAAAGGTATGTTCCGATCACCATGACAACCCTTTATGTTCTTACTCGACGCGGCCTACTACTAATTGGATATTTTAAGAAAAATTTGAAATGTTGAGGTTAATAGTGAAAATAAATATAGAGTGTTATATATTTTCGAAAAGCCCATGCCAAGCTGAATCTAGAAATTTAAAAATATACAGGGGGTTATATATTTAAAAAAAAACATAAGTATAGTTAATATCCAAAAAAATATTTTTTTCGAAAAAAGTCTGACTACGACACTGCATTCTACACAGAAAAGTGCTACACAGTAGAATGAATAATTCATTTTTTCGTGGTTGCTGAAATAAACAAACTATCGAACATCTTCAAAAAGTACAAAATTTGAGAATCCCCCTGTAGCTTCGAAACCGATCAAGATAGACACGATCCGTTTGCGCCATTGTCATTTTTTCAACAAAAGAACCCGAGACTGCAGTATCAAAATTTGAATATTTCTTACGGTTTCCTAAATACCCTATAGAAACAAACAAAATGGCCCACCCTGTACATCTAAAATTAAATGGGGAATGTAACCGGTCATCCAATTTTGTTTTTACTAGTTTTCACTAATATGATTTGTATTTTTCAACAAATATGTTAAAAAATATCTTCACAAATTTAGGAAAACGTTCCTAACCATAAGTTAGAAAAAATCCTAACAATTTAGTGATATTAGAAACTACGGCATTTTTATAGGAAGGACTTTTTATTGGAAAGGAAATAAATAATATACTTAACTAAATTGATTTAAATGCATCTATATTACAGATATACAATACTATTACAATATTACTTAGTAATTAAAAAAAGGAACAGTTCAATGTAGGCATATAAACTTTATAATACTACTTTACTCAAGAAGAATATTAAAGTGGCAAAAAACTAATATTTATTCATTTAAACTTAAGTCTTTCCAAGCTGGTAGTACAATATACATAATTAAGAGATTTTTATGTGTATTTCCTATACCTTACCACACTCAACGTTTCTAGACAATTTCGTGTTCATGTAATAACGACTCAATTAAACATTCTTCTTCTCAACAAAAGAAATACATAATTCTACTATCACAGCTAGTTCAAGTCGGGATAGTTTTAGTGGAGTCTTTAAAGACTACATCTGTCTCCCATTTACTTCTGTTTCAATGTTTCTAACAGCAGATCCATCAATTTGGAGAAACGACCATTAATGTCGTCCCTGGTGCGATGGGGTAGCTTATCCGAAATGATCTGAAGCGCGTATTCCTTGTCGTCCTCCTTCTGGAAAGTCTCCAGGATAATGGTGTCCTCCTCTCTCTTCCATGGGGGTTCGTCGTTGGTGTTGCTGTCGCTCTGGGACCCTTTGGTGCTCTCGATGGACGAGCTGGAGCTGTCTGATTCGTAGTTGTCTTGGGACGATTCCTCGCAGTATATTTCTGAAAAATAGTTCAAGAAGGTTAGTGGCGTCGCACACAGGGCTAGAATTGAAATCTAAGTGGTAAAAAGTAACCTTTAGAAATGCTATTTTTGATAATATTATCTCATTTAGAACATTCCAGCTTGATAAAAAATAATAATCAATAATTAGAGTTATATCCCGTAGTTTTTGGTTTGCAAATAAATACAGGGTGGCGCACCTCATTCGCCTCGGTTGATTATACGAAAACGGAAAGATGTAGAAATATTTTTTTATGCGTAAATGTTCAAGCAATGTGCATAATTTAAAATTATTTTCAAATGTACAGGGTGTGTCAGAACTAAGATCCATACCAAAGTTATATTTTTTCTTATGGACCACCCGGTATTTTATTTCATTTTTGGATTCTTGGACATAAAATATGCGATTTATTACAAGGGTTTAATATGTTTAAATGCTTTGATTTTTGAGATATTTAAAGATATTTAAATATGTATGCTACAATAAAAAAGTTTGTCAACGCCCTGTACTGGAATATTTTTCAGAGTTAATTCTTGCGCAGACTTTGAAACCGGAGAAATAAACTTTACTAAAAAAAATTTTGCTTTCTTAAATGTATACAGGGGTATCAAAAATTGTTGGCCTATTTTAAGTCTTTATTTTACATAAAAACTTTGTTATTTCAAAAACAACACTATGCATTTTTTTAAATAAGTCGAAACAGATTTAAATGCTCTTTCAAACTATATTAGGGTTTCCTATACCTATCTGGCTTAGATTTTGAATAAAAAGCGATTTTTCAATAAAATGGCAATCAAGATGGCTGGTGTTGCCATGACGCCGTGGCAATTTGCTAGTGACAGTTAGTAGCTATTTTCAAAATCGAAATTAGTTTATGGACTTTATTTAATTTTATAACAGTTTACTTTTATTTAATTAACCTACAATAGTTTAATAAGTAAGTATTTATTATTTTATGAAGAAAAATAAAGTAGTTCTTTGATTTATATTACGATGACTTGTAGATATATCGGATTTTCTATAAAAGAACCAATTATGGAAAATTCATTTTCTTCACTTCCAACGACAGGTTTCTGCCTAATAGGTTTTTCATATATCACACTATCAGCTCTGCGAAATACAAAAAGTAGTTTTTCAAAGTTACGCTTGTCAAGATAATAATTACAATTTGGATATCTTTGAGCATAAACCCTTCAGGCCAACAAGCAATTGTCCTCACAAAATAAAATCACTAGTAACATATCCGTTCCTTCCGCCAGCAGATACTGCTTTATTTTTCTTGATAATATAATAAATACTTACTTACTAACTTTATTGTAGGTAAATTAAATAAAAATAACCTGTTATATATTTAAATTTTCCAAAAAAATCCATAAACAAATGTCGATTTTCAAAATAGCTAAGTGTCACTAGAAAACTGCCAGGGTGACACCAGCCATCTTGATTACAATTTTATTGAAAAATCGCTTTTTATTCAAAATCTGAGCCAGGTAGGTATAGGAGACCCTAATATGGTTTGAAAGAACATTTAAATTTGCTTCGACTTATTTAAAAAAATACATAGTGTTGCATTTGAAATAACGAAGTTTTTATGTAAAATAAATATTTAAAAAAGACCACCAATTTTTGATACCCCTGTATACAATTAAGGAAGCAATCAAATTTAAGTTTATTTCTCTTGCATCAAAGTCTGCACAAGAATTAACTCTGAAAAGTAATGTACAGGGTGTTGACAAACTTTTTTATTATAGCATGTATATTTAAATATCTTTAAATATCTAAAAAAACAAAGTGTTTAAACATATTAAACCCTTATAATAAATGTCTTATTTTATGCCCAAGAATCCAAAAATGAAATAAAATACCGGGTGTCCATAAGAAAAAATATAACTTAGGTATGGATCTTAGCTCTGAGTTCTGACACACCCTGTACATTTCAAAATAATTTTAAATTAAGCACAAAAATTATACTCATAAAATATGTTGTTTGTACATCTTTCCGTTTTCGTATAATACGCGTACTTTAATTTTAAGTTGGCGGTTTTGCTTAATTTCCATAGTAAAATCGTTTTATTATTCTGCTAATCTAACACAGAAGGCTGTGGAAAACAAAACTTTGGTTTACTTCAGTTGACAGCCTACCATTTAAGTTTCCATTTTGCTTGACAGGTTGAAAAATGCTGTTAAAAGCAGTGAGCGTTGCGCTGGAAAGTGATTGCTTGAAGTAAACACTGTTTGTTTATTAATAGTTTAACTTTGGTAGAAGAAACATATTAAAGGGACAACAAGTTTCAACAATTAACTAGATTTTTGAGGTTTTGGGAAACTAAAAATGATAGTTCCTTATTGCGTTTTTTTACGACAGTAGGTACTCTTTTTAATGTTAGATACTTCAAATGTACAGGGTGGGTCAAATTCGACGCTTTTAAATGGAAACACCCTTTTCTATAGGAGATAGACAAAAACTAATATCGGTGTCTGAGCTCAATTTTTGTCAAAAACATGATGGTGAAAACCGCATATCGATATCTGTTACCGTTTCGGAGTTACGGGGTGTTTTTCAAAAATATGCATTTTTAACAAATCGCTGTAACTTTTTTGCTATGGAAAATGTTGTATTTTTATGAAAACATTTCCAAAGCACCTTTTTACGTAGAATTTAATGGTTTAAGTATAATTTTTTTAAAATTAATAATTTAAGAATTATCTACAGAAAATTTGATTTTTTATATGGGACACCCTGTATATTTTTAATTTATTGAAAAGAATTTAAAATTACCTTTCCAAAAATATAACACACTTGATATTTTCCTCGATTCCTCTTCGAGATATAGAGTATATAAAAATTCGCCGGCTTTTAAATAAGTAGGCTTTGAACGGCACCGGCTGTAATGCAAAAAATTCTAGCTGTGAACATCAATTAAAACGAAAATAATATTTGCTATGAGAGATGCAGAATTTTATAACAATTTAAAATATATGTAACCAACATCAACACGTTTAAACTATATCTAATAATAATAAAAATAAATAGCAAACCAAGACATGAGATTTTGCTACAGGTGTTCGACGTATCGACCGTCTTCTGTTATGGACAGACGGGGCAGTTTTTGAAAATTTCTCGCGGAATTAATTAACTCAGTGGGGGTGAAAGATACCCTCTTATAATTGCTAAGTATTTTTAATTCTTGTCTAGATTATACGGAAAAATAAGGAACCTTTATTCTTCCGCAAATATATTCATAGGATTAGATCCGTGGGCACTAAGTCAGGCAGCTTCGACGGCCAACCGCTGGGATCTTGGTTAGCTATCCAATTATTCTTGAATTTGGCTGCAAAAATTTGCTGATAACTTCAGCGTTCGGAGGCGGTGCGTCGTTTTGCTGGAAAAATATGTTTTCGAGTTCCATTAAGGGCATATCATCAATAAGTGGTCCAAAGCCTACTAGTTAAAAGTGGCGAACTTATAAAAATTCTGTATTTCGAAGGGGATTATAACAAAATATCAAGTGTGCTATATTTTTGGAAAGGTAATTTTAAATTCTTTTCAGTTAATTAAAAATACAGAGGGTGTCCCAAATAAAAAATCATTTTTTCTGTTGATAATTCTTAAATTATTAATTTTAAAAAAATTATACTTTAACCATTAAATTCTACGTAAAAAGGTGCTTTGGAAATGTTTTCATAGAAATACAAAATTTTCCATAGCAAAAAAGTTACAGCGGTTTGTTAAAAATGCACATTTTTGAAAAACACCCCGTAACTCCGAAACGGTAACAGATATTGATGTGCGGTTTTCACCATCATGTTTTTGATGAAAATTGAGCTCCAGACGCCGATATTAGTTTTCGTCTATCTCCTATAGAAAAGGGTGTTTCCATTTAAAAGCGTTGAATTTGACCCACCCTGTACAAGTTAGCATGAGAAAGATTTTTTTAAATTATAGCGCTCTACGGCTAACGAAAATCGTCAAATTGGTTTACTAAGGCTAATTATGGAGGATTTTGATGTAAATAATATGCTGTGTGATATAAAAATTGCAACACACAGTATTTGCTTAGCTATATTTATAATATTTTGTGAATTTATTTGATTGCCTGCATAAAGGGAGGTAAACAATAACATTTTAATCGCAGTCTGTTTACAAATAACCAGACTTTATTTAATTAAAAAAAAAGGTTTTAATTTTATTATTTTTTTTATTACCTTTGGGATATTGGAAACATCATTGTTTAATTCGATCTATGTCGCTTTTTTTAACTTTAAAACTAACTTTTTTAACGTTTAAAAATAATTATTATTGTTTAATAGTAGTAACAATTTCGTTGAAATTTAAATTGCAATTTTTTTAAGCTAAAATGTCAAAAGTTGACATATCATATGTCATTATATTCAGAATATCATTTTGTACAAAATAAAGTAAAAACAATCGAGGATACCATTTAAAAATCAAAAATTGTAGTCATTTCCGTGAAACAGGAAGTGACCCAAACTAATTGAATATGTCAATCAATTCTGATTTATGCCATGTACTAACATACCTAATCTCGTTTTTTTATCTGGAAAAATTAAAAATTTATATGGGCGAGTCACTTTCGAAAATCACCCGCTATACCATAAATGTACTAAAAAGATTTAATAGTTACTATTCTCGCTTCCTTTAAATTCCGAAAATATTCACATTTTTAGCCGACCATACCAACGGGTATGGTAGGCTATTAAGATCGACAAAAAAAAGCTTTTTTTTTAATTTAACTCAAAATTAGTTATTTAGGTCATAAATGACCTAACTACAAAATATTTTCATGGTGTCTGTCTGTCTGTCCGTCTGTCTGCAACACGCTAACTCAAAAACCGCCAAAACCGATTTTCATCAAATTTGGCACAAAAATACTGTGGCACCCGAGAATCTGGCCATTAGTTTTTGGTGGGGGTGGGGGGTATTTGGTTAAAATCGGTTTAGCGGTTTAGCGATAACTCAAAGTTATCGTGTTAACGACGGACAGACAGACACCGCGAAAATATTTTGTATTTAGATCATTTATGACCCAAATAACTCATTTTGAGTGAAATTAAAAAAACTTTTTTTTCGCCGATCTTAATAGCCTACCATACCTGTTGGTATGGTCGGCTAAAAAATGTATGCCACATTTCATGCCCAATAACAAATAAAAACGTTATGACTTTTGTCCTACAACAATAATTATTGTGATCGCAGCAAAGTACAAAAATCCCAAACAAAACAACAAAAAAAAAGAAACAAAAGTGATAAAATGTCGTGTAAATTCAAAGAATTCAAGATTCAATTGTTGAGAATTTAGTTGAACCACGCTGTGTCAAGTTTCATAAATACACAGACACGGAGAGTTTCAAAAAATCTATCAAAAAAATTGATCCAAAAGTTCCATAGGTGATAATTTTTTACAAGTGGAAGAAAAACAACAGTTCTGAACATCTTTTCAGCCAAGTTTCATAAATATAACTTTCAAGAAATAAGAAATAACTTTAAAATAATTGAAATTATATCGCTGCATATAAAGTGGCACAATTCAAAATTTTGTGATTTTGGGTTTTTCTAACCCATAGTAATAAAAAAAGCGTCTTTTAAGGAGCAAAACCGTCCTAATTTAAAATTAAATAATTCACCGCTAGGTGTCATCCGGACCAACTGTCATTTTTTGATTATTCGAATTTAACGTGGAAGACCGTACCAATTTAGTTGCGTCATGGTTGCATTGTGACATCAATATTTGGATTAAAACTGGTGTCTGGGAGTTTTTTGACATGAGAAATTTGATTTTGATGTCAATATGACTCCTATAAGCATAGAGGGCGCCATCTACATATTTTTAACTGGTTTGAAGAGTAATAACTTTTCGTCCGTACTTGTATAAAACTACTGTGTAAAAAAATATACATTTACGACGCTTTTTACGTAAAAAAGATCTCTTGGTAAAAATCGCTACGAGTAATGGTTTCGAGATATTGGGAATCGAAATTATCAATACCTGTCATCACCGACATAAATTAAACATGTTGACTAAATAGTTATTAGACTGAGATCATAATGTTGAATTATTTTTGTACCAAAAGTTCAACAAAAACTGTTTTATCATCATTTTTTTGCAGAAAAAATATGATTAATTTAAAAAAATAAAAATTTCCCAAATTTATTATTTCAGTGAAATAACTATCTACTCAACGTGTTTATTTTTCGTTAATAATGGCATGTATTGACTATTTCCATTCTAAATATCTTGAGAACGGTTGCTCGCAGCGATTTTTACAAAGAGATATTTTTTATGTAAAAAATCACAGAGATGTATATTTTTCCCTCGGTAGTTTTATACAGGTACGGACAAAAAGTTATTACGCTTTAAAACAGTTAAAACACATGTAGGTGGGTGGCGCCCTCTACCAGTAGGAGTCATATTGACATCAAAATCAAACTTCTCATGTCAAAAAACTCTCAGACACCAATTTTTATCTAAATATTGACGTTACTTCGGAAATTATTTGGAAAAAATCGAAATAAAAATGAAATTTCTACACCCTGTATCTCCGAAACTAAGCATTTTAGGACATACATTTATACGAACTTTTTTACCTATTTTTATCTGCAGAATATGCTGCCGAAGTTTCCGGAATACAATTCGGACCACCCTGTATAAGCCGACGCACAGTGATGCCGAAAACGCGAAAAGTGGCAAAAAATAATTTCTCAACTTACTGCTACATTTTTTAAAATTATTTTTGTTAAATGTGGTTTTCTAAGTGTATAAGTGATGTTTGGAATTCAGAAAATTGAATTATGTATACAGTGTGTACTTAAATTGGCTGTAAAAAATAAAAAATGGGTTGTAAAAAATTTAATTATATTATTTTGTCTTCAATAGCATATTAATTTAATACTCTATTCTTTGTAAAGTTTAAAAAATCAAAAAAAGTTTGTGTAAACACATTAATAAATATACAGGGTTTTATTTTCACCCCCTTACAATAGAATTAGCATTTCGTTTTTACTATAATTAATCCTTTTTTCAGAACTAGTTACCAATAAGTATTACTTAAATTCAAGATATTGACATTCTTTTCCATGAGAAAAAAAAAAGAAAAAAAAAAGAAAGTAAATACATCTGTATATTTTATGTAGTTAGATATTAATGAAAGTAACACCCTTGATTAAGGGTAACACCAAAACATATATTTTCATATTCTTGATAAAAGTTGTTGAATGAATATTGACGCATGATAGACACATTGACACGTCTTTTTAGTTTATATTAACAATAATTATTCAAAATTAATGAGATTTCTAATAATATTAAATTTAATGTCATATAAGCACAAAACGAATAAAAACTTAGGCTTAACAGGGAAAAGCTAGTTAAAATTACACAATAAAAAGTATTTTTAAATTTGAATACTTTGTATATCGAAAATTAAATTGAATAAGAGAAAATATATTACAGTTTTCTTTCTTCAACTAATTAAAAATAACCAACAACAATATTTTACAGCACCTAAGAAACACCCAGTAATATACTGTCATACGTAATTTATTTTGGGAAACTAAACCATGGTTTTCGGGAGAGTTAGGCAACCTAAAGGGTATTTGTGGGCTAATGTTGGTCATGAAACTTCGTAGTTATGAAGAAAAAAGGCTAATAATTGTAACCTACATCATATTTTTTTGGAGCAATTTGGAGCATTTTGTATTAGCTTACATAACATGTGATTTTAGATTAAGCAGTTCTTAATTACATCAAGGTCTTTATTGATTTTTTTATGGTACCAGGGAAGTTAAAACTAGAATTACCATGAGGAAAAACTGTTGAAAACATTGTACTTTCTCAGAGTACCATCAGTTTTTAGAGAATTTATCACCAACGTTAAACGCACTAATTTTATTTAATCAAAATATTTTAGCTTCAGCTAATAATTTTATAAGCTAGAACATTTCTTATCAGGGATTAATAATGGGCCCGTTTTGATTCAAAAATCTTCACGATTCTGAAAATATGGTCTATTAGGAACTATACGAGTGAAATTATAATTAAAAAAAAATACTTTTGATATTTTGATTTTCTGCCGCTTTTGGGAACTTCTGCATCACTGTGCGACGCCTGGGGCCCGAAGAAGAGAGAAACAACCAACCATTCGACGCGTACAACTGCCGCGCTAAATTCAAAATAAATTCCTTTTAGATAAATAGTTAGATAAGTTGTAAATAAGTTATAAATAATTATTTAAGTAGTTTTATCGTTATTGTATTACTTAGTGTAAAATAAATTGTGTTTAAATAAATTAGACTTTCTATCCACCCGGAACCGACGAAAAACATAACAATAACATGATTCAAATATTTCAACTGCCTCTACTGTAAAGTTGATTAATTTTGAGTTGTGCCGCTTTTGTCGAAAAGCAGCGATATACTTCAATTATATGTATATTATATATACCGGGTGCGTCTCAACAGTGGCTCACCCCCTATAACTTTTTTATTTTTTCAGATAAAACAACGAGATTTGGTATGTAATAATTTAGGATTGATTGACATATTCAATAATTGTTTTTGGTGATTTCTTGTTTCACCGCAAATGACTACAACTTTTAATTTTTAAATGACACCTTTGGTATTTTTTTGCTTACACCTTGGTACTTTTTTTTAACTTTTGACATTTTCGCTTTAAAAAAATCGTATTTTAAATTTTAATCTAGAGTGCCATGGCTGTGTTAAAAACACTTTTTAATCAAGTAGCCTTGGAAAAATAGTTTTGGTCGTCTAAAGTTTTATCGTGTCTTGTCCTGGACGGTTAAAAGATTCTCAAACCGTATTTTTAATCATATCTCAATTTTTTCAAATGGAACGAGGGTGGCTCATTAGCATATTTGGAAAAACCATTTTTTTACGAATAATTTGGTAGCACACACTTGGTATTTTGAGTCAAATTCCCGTTGCATGCTACAATTTCAAATAAACCATGTATGAGAAAGTGTCAAAAGTTGACATATGATATGACATTCTATTCAGAGTGTCATTTTCTATGGAATTAAGTAAAAAAATACCAAGGGTGCCATTTAAATAATTAAAAGTTGTTGTCATTTCCGGTGAAACAGGAAGTGACCAAAAACAATTGAATACGTTTAAATTTATTTTGAATTTTCTCCCTTTTTTCTTATTATTCTGGAGAAAAGGAGAATATTGAGTACATTTAAAACAAAAAAATATATATATATTTAAAAACTTGTATCATTACAGCTTTGAAAAAACAATCTGTTCACCAGTATCTATAGTCTGTCCAGCGAGAAGACATATAATTTCGACAGACGACATTCAAAAAACATAAATGAATCTCCTTATTCAAAATGGAATGAATGAATAATGCCTGTCACAATACAGTCTTTCGGCTGTAGGAAATAAAAATATAAGTGTCATAATTTCACAAGGATGTCTTTGTTCTCATTTCCTGGTTAGTCCGGTTAGTGTCAAACTAGATGACAATGATAATAATCACTTACCACTCTCTGATTCCGCAGTTTGCTGTCCAGGGGTCAACGGTTTCTCCAAAGACTCCCCTGAAGAGTCCATACAGTCATCAGTTTCTTGATGGTCTTCTTGGTGCTCCAATTTTTCTTCCCCTTCAATCTCCTCCTCCTGACACTTCTCGTCAATTATTTCGTTCTTCTTCAAAACTTCCGACTCAGTCTTCTTTACTTCGTCCTTCTTAGTCCTCTTTCCAGAATACGTACGTTTCCTGGGTTTGATACTGTCCTTGGAACAGTCCAACGAGTCATTAGTCTTGCCTGGGGACTTCTTGGGCGAAAGAGGTTTGGTCGTGTCGGTTTTTTTCCTCTTTCTCGGTGACTTTTGAGAAACCGATTTCTTCCGCTTACCGAGCTCTTCATCTTCAGTATCCTGAAAAACAAAGTTTAAATTTTGATAAAGTATAATAATTTTTATCATACTTAGTGACATACTAATATTTAAAGGGGCGATTCTTATACCGATTCTAAGAAAAAAACTTCATATGAACGTATGACCTAAACATCTTAACGTTTGAGATACAGGGTAGTATTTTTTATAACTTATAATTACTTATGTTATACAGGGTGGTCCGAATGGTATTCGGGAAACTTCAGAAGCTTATTCTGTAGATGAAAATGAGTAAAAAAGTTTGCATAAATGTATGTCCTAAAATGCTTTGTTTCGGAGATACAGGGTGTAGAAGTTTCATTTTTATTTCGGTTTCTTCCAAATAATTTCTGAACTATAATCGATATTTGGATAAAAATTAGTGTCTGGGTGTTTTTTGATGTAGGAAATTTGATTTCGATATCAATATGACTCCTAGTTGTAGGGGCCGCCGCCTAAATGTTTTTTAACTCTTTAAAAGGATAATAATGTTTGTCCGTACATGTATAAAACTACTGAGTGAAAAAATATACATTTCCAGAATTTTTTAAGTAAAAAAGGTCTCTTGTTAAAAATCGTTACGTGCAACCAGTTCTCAAGATATTTAAAAATAGTCAATACATGTCAATATTGACAAAAAATAAACATGCTGAGTAGATAGCTATTTGAGAGAAATGACAAATTGAGTAACTTTTTATTTTTTTAAATTAATCATAAATTTTTCTTCGAAAAAATGATGATGACCTACAACGTCCTGTGTCCGAATATGGATGAATGGGATAAGCCGAGAAACGGTTTATTACATGCCGAAATGTGTTGGTACAAGGACGGATCCACGTACGAAAAAGGATCTGGCGCAGGAATTTACTGTAGCAGTCTAAAAACTGAGATCTACTTCTACCCCAGACTTGAAAAACACACCACAATTTTCCAAGCTGAGCTATATGATATTGAAACCTGTGTGCATCGGCTGGTAGAACAGCAATACACCGGGAATACAAACATTTTTTTTCGGATAGTCAAGCCGCGTTGAAAGCGTTTGAGGCAACTAAAAGCACCTCTATGACGATTCTTCATTGTAGGAAACTACTCAATGTATTAGGAGATAGGAACAAAGTGTAGCTAATATGGATACCGGGACATACCGGCCTAGAGGGAAATAAACGTGCTGATTCCCTAGCCAAAACAGGTGCAGGTTTGCAATTCAGGGGCCCATGGCCGACACTTAGCGTTTCAAAAAATCTCGCAAGAGACAGGGTGGGTACGACGTTTCGGGACTGGAATGACCGTCCCGGAATTGATCATGCTAAGAAAATCCTAGCAGGGCCATCCAAACGCACAACAGGAGAACTCTTAAAGGCCGACAGGAATGAAGCGTGTACGCTCACTGCAATATACACGGATCATTAACAATTACACAACCTAACCTAACCTAACGGGTCATTGCCGGCTGAGATCACACCTGCAGAGAATGGGAGTGTTGGCAGACGCCAAATGCCAACTCTGTATGGAAGATGACGAAACCATGAAGCACGATATGTGTACCTGCCCCGCTGGAATCAGGACCAGGTGTAAAGTGTTTGGTAAAACCACGCAACCTATCAGACTTAGGAGACATATTACCCTCGGATATAACGGCCTATGTTAAAAGGTTAGATCTTGAGGGTGAAGTTTAACAATCTTTTTTGTTTAAAGAGTTTGTAGTACTGAGCTACAATAGGCTCTTTCGGTCACAGTGGAGGGTCCCACTTGGGACCTACTCTTAGTAATAAATACTTAGAGCGTCACATCTCAAAAAACGCAATTTTCAGGTGAACCAATTTAAAATTTATTGAAATGATAATCGTCTTAATATAATTACTTAGCAAATGCCATGCCACTAAACTAATACAACTATGGTGTTCAACATGAAAAAGGAATATTTAATTTCATAATCACACCTTTTTTCATCCCGGTATTCAAAACAAGGTTAGAAATTGAACGTAATCGGTGCAGTAATTTTTAATCAACACATAATGGCAGTTCTGAGCACCGTTTAATTATTTATTAATTATGAGAAACGTATAGTTCAACGATTTCAAAATATTGTTAACCAAGAAGTAACGAACAATATGACACGTCCATTTCTACATTTTACCTTTTAAATTTATAAAAATAAAATTTCAAATCTATCTTATTGTATATTGAACATCTTCTATATCAACCCGTTTTTGGTCGGTACCGCACGGACTTGTCACGTTATTCCCCTGTACGGGATATTTTTCTTGTTTAATATCTTCTGACTTATCGCGTTCTTGCCGTGGAAGCTATCTTTAGAACAAAATTTAACATATTTTCTATCAGATGACATCAATATCTCAATTTCGCTAAAAATTGACTTAGCCCGTTTTTCCCCTGTACATTTATTTCTCATCTAGTATTGATTAGTTCCACCATATTATGGAAAGCGAATTTAAATACCGTATGATCGAAAAAAAATGGCGTCCAGTTGGCTTGGAAATGACGATCGATGACATTTCCCATATAATTTTACATATAAAATGACAGCGATCTTCATTTCATAGCCATCGCTGACGCCGTTTTTATTCGATCATACGATACATATAGCCAGAAACAAATAAAATATGATTCATTTTTAACTATATTTAAATTCGCTATTACTTTTTGATTGGTTTGGAAGCTCGTGATGACAGTTGATAAATATTCGAATGTCTTAAATTTATTGTAAACCAACCGAGCAAAATCAGACTAGCCAACGATTTCAGTCATTGTTGTGATTGTATGTCCCATGCTCCGTACAATCATTAAAATGAGTTATAGCCAGCTACCTGTTAAAGTATTACTTACCTCATCTACATGCTCTTTTCCGTTAGTGCTCACGTGTTTGCTGGGACTATGGCCATACCTTTTTTTTCTGTGACTCAACGGTACAGAAATGTTGGTCTTTTTCTCCTGCAATCTGGAAATTTGACTAGAATTTGAACTGGTATTAAAACACACAGTGGCCGGATGCATTCCCCTACAAGATTGTACATAGACTTTTCCATGTATAAACTGAAAGTAATAAGAAACATTCCTTTATTTGACACAAGAGATAAAATATGAAAATTTTTATTTTTCATTGTCTTTGTGTTAGTCTGCAAATGTATCTTTTTAAATAAGAATTTAAAAAGAACAGATTAACACAAAGAAAATGAAAAATATATATTTTTTTATATTTTAACTATAAATAATATACTTACTCTTAGACCGCAGGAATTACAATGTTTGTATCTCGATTTATACTCGTTATCCTCAATTTTATGACAGTGACATACACAGTTGACACCCCCATATTTATCTTCAGTGTTAGGTACCACAAATTTTTCATAGATTTCCTCATCATCCTGTCTTGCCAGCTCTTTGTTTATGTCTAGTTTTTCATATGGTCCTTCTAATAGGCTTCAAAGAGAGGACAAAAAAATAAAAATATGAAATTATATATTCAAAATGCTTTAGTAATGTATTGTTGCAGACTCAGCTCTCGGAATAAAATGCCCCGCCCCCATTCGAACCAATGGAAAACGCCAGAAAGACAGAGAACGGCGGCCAAGAAAATACGAGTAAAATCTAGATTGTCTGTTTCTCTCATATACAGGGTGGTCCGAACTGTATTCCGGAAACTTCGACAGCATATTCTGCAGATAAAAATATGTAAAAAGTTTGTATAAATGTATGCCCTAAAATGGTTAGTTTCAGAGATACAGAAATTTTTTTTTTCGGAGATACAGAAAATTTTAAATTTGGAAACTTTTAATTTTTTTTAAATTAATCATAAATTTTTCTTCGAAAAAATGATGATAAAACAGTATCTGTTGAACTTTTGGCACAAAAACATTTCAAATTTCAAGTCAACGCATGTTTAATTTATGTCAATGATGACGGTATTGATAATTTCGATTCCAAATATCTCGAGAACTAATACTCGTAGCGATTTTTATCAAGAGACTTTTTTTACGTAAAAAACATCGTAAAGGTATATTTTTGTACTCAGTAGTTTTATACAGATACGGATGAAAAGTTATTACTCTTCAAACCGGTTAAAAATATGTAGGTGGCGCCCTCTACAAGTAAGAGTCATATTGACATCAAAATCAAATTTCTCATGTCAAAAAACTCTTAGACACCTATTTTCATCCAAATATTGACGTTACTTCAGGAATTATTTGGCAAAAATCGAAATAAAAATTAAACTTGAACACCCTGTATCTCCGAAACTAATTATTTTAGGACATACATTTATACGAACTTTTTTACTTAAAAATAAGTAAAAAAGTCTGCAAAATATGCTGTCGAAGTTTCCGGAATACAGTTCGGACCACCCTGTATATAATCGAAATAAACTGTGTTTAAATAAATTAGACATTTTATCCACACGGAACCGACGAAAAACGTAACAGTATTCTAAAAATTACAATTGAAGGGTTCACATGATAAGCGCTATTTTATTAATTTACAGGAGAGCGCTGGCGCTGGATAGCTCGTGGTTATCAGGTTCTTTGCCTGTATGTCTATTTTTACTAGGCATATATCATAAGATTTAGCAAGTTATTGCCCTGCAGATTTTGTACATTTTGTAGGGACCAGTTAGACCTACTATAATATTGTAAAACCCTGAAATTAAGAAATTGGCGCTTATCATGTTTTCCCTGGACATCCGTCATTTACCTTGTAGGAGGTCTTTCATCCTTGAAATTTTGCAGGAATAAATCAATGAGTATAGGATTTCCCTTCAGCATAAGGGAAAGCACATTCTTCACCTTCTCCAGAGTGACATCCTCCATTTGTGAAAACTCTACCAACGAATTATAAATCTTCTTCAGTTGAGCTGGCTGGTCCTTGAAGTATATTTCCAGTTTGTGGCAAAACTTGACCCTGGCTTGTACTTCCATCCATGGTATCAACTGGTCCAGAGCTGCAGCTTCCTTTTCTTTAAGAAAATACAAAAATTCTTCTGCTAGTTCCGCGTACTTTGGTCTGAGGACGCACTGTATGTTTTTGTAGAGGTCTATAACGTCACCCGATTCAAATTCCGTAAGAATCTGAATCACTTTATAGTAGTCTTCTAATTCTAGAGTCTCTCGAAGTTTATCATAATAAGCCAGAGCAAACACTATAAATAAAACATAAAATTCTTATTTTTGCCATTAAATATTTAAAAACACTAACTAGTATTTTATTTTTAAGCGCTGGTACCACTTCATTCTCTGTTATATGTATAATAAAAAACTGATTAACAGATTAACTAAAATAGATTAACTAACAAATTTGTATATAACTGGTTGCGATGAAAAAGTCCTTTCAAAGATCTCAATTTCAGTTTCCCATATATTTTAGTTTGTATCATATTTAAATGAAACAAGTTTAGATTGAAAAGTGCCCATAAGGACAATGTAAACACTATTTGGCGCTATTCTTGCAACGGTCGCGACCCAAAGCTTTTGAACATTTCGGAGCGGTTCGGCATGGTTCGGGTTTTCCCGGAATTTTATCGCCAAATATTATTTATTCTGCGCGAGGCCAGCCTCCACAAGTGGTACACAAGCTACCACATCCTCTAGTAAGGGTAGGGAGTCTACCTCTAGACCCAACAAGCGACACAAGCTACCGTTTAGTCTACCCGGCCTGGGTCAACCAGGCGGGTTAGACGATCCGCTGAGAGTAGGTCTTAGCGGAGCACAAGTACGGAGATACCTTCGACTGCTCCACGAAGGACTTGCTCCGGAGGAAACAAAAGCCAAAACTCTCCTTGCAAAAAAAAACCAAGAAACAACCTGGCGCATCTCCACCAAAGGACAAGAGAGGGAGCGAAAACCTCTCCATTTTGCTCCGGCAAGGAGAGGAAAAAGCCAGGATGGAAAGCCGTCCCACACCGGGAGGCAAGCAGGGACGTATCACTAGTTGCCAAAGGATGCCATGGTGCTGCCAAAGGATTATCCGGAGGTGGCACTGACCACCGACAAGCAAACGGCTCTAGAAGAGGCGATACTGGACGAAGTAGTAGCGAGCGGATTGCAACGTAACCATCCACAAAGTGTGGGTCAGCTGCGCTTTGCGGGGATACGCTTTAGGGTGGGCATGATCCTCATAGATAGTGCATCTGAGGAGAGAAAACATCCCTAAAGGGACAACCATCACGGCCTTTCTGCCAAGAAGCAAGGGGAAAGACACCACCTACCTGCTAGACCTTATCCAAGCTCAGAACGAGAATGTGAGTACATCGAGCTGGCGAGTCCTCAACTCGAAGGAGGAGGGCCATGGTCAGGTCCTCACAATAGGAATTGACCTCAAATCCAAGGAGGCAATAGAGAAAGAGGGATATAACCTCTATTATAGATTCGGGACGGTACCGGTATCAGGTCCAAGAAAAGAACAAGCTAAAGAGGGGGAGAAAATGGAGACAAATACTCCAGCCTCCAACTCACAAGTACCACAGCCGGAGACAAGCTCCTCGACTGTGAAGGACACGGATGGCGTAACTCCAACCGTGAAAGGGTGTATATCCTCGGAGGAGGTTGATGACCACTCCTCGGAGGAGGAACATCTGTTGCCAGGGGGGATGGGAAATACCCTGTCCTCCCTACAACAGGGGGATCCTTACCTACCCCAGAAACCTGACGCATGGGATATCCCAAATAAACCTGCACCATGCAAAAGGGTCTTCCGCCACAATCACAAGACTCTTTGAGAAAAACCAATATGTAATGGTACCAGCCCAGGAACCCTGGGTGTACCAGGGACAAATTAAAGGGTTGTCTGGAAAAAATTCCAGTGTAATATATGATAACAGGCAGGAATTTCCCCGAGCCTGTATTCTTATAAGAAACAACATTAACTACACATGTGTTTCAGAATTTACAACCCGAGATCTTGTTCCAATCATGGTTCAACTTAATATCGAGGATTGTAGCAAAAATATCGTGATTGCCTCTGCATACTTTCCGGGTGATGGGCAGACACCGCCTCCGGAAGTAGAGGAGCTCGCGCGATTCTGCAGCCAACGGCGACTACCTCTGCTATTGGGATGTGATTCCAATACGCACAATGAGGAAGCACTAATACTAACACTAGAGGTGAGTGTTTACTAGAATTCCTCTTAGCATACAATCTTGAAGTTCTCAATATAGGGAACACCCCCACGTTTGTGACAAAAACGCGGGCGGAAGTATTAGATTTAACAATCGGAAGTGCTAGTGTAACTAGTTACGTGAAAGATTGGAGGGTCTCAACGGAACCTTCCCATCAGATCACAGAATCATCGAGTTCAAATTAGGAGGAATCATACTCCAAACTGAAATTCGAAGGAATCCAAGAAAACCCGATTGGGAACTATACCACACCAATCTCATAGACAACCTGGACCAAATAGATGCAGGTAGGGCTAGGAACCACCTGTATCTAGAATGGTACGCAAAGGAAGTCAGTGGTGCAATATTGGATGCATATGAATCTAGTTGCCCCACAAGTAAGGGCATACAAAAAAGTAACAAGCCCTGGTGGAACAAAAAGCTGGCCAATCTTAGATCGGAGGTCCGACGACTCTTCAACAGAGCCAAACCCAGCGGCGAATGGCAGCTCTACGCCGAGAAATTAACTGAGTATAATAAGGAGATTAGAAGGGCAAAGCGGTCTGACTTCAGATGCTTTTGCGAAAACATCACTTCAACTACTTATGCAGCTAGGCTACACAAAGTTATGGCCATCCCTAACATGGCACTTAAGAAACCTGACGGAAGCTACACGGAAGGAGATGAAGAGAGAGAGCTAACCTCCTACTTCATACACACTTTCCAGGTAGCATATCTATTAATTGATACGCAAGTAACTCCGACCGAACCCCACAATCCTCGCAGGGAAGACTGGGAGACGGCGAAGCTGGTAATAACAGAACAAAAACTGAAATGGGCTATTGACACCTTTCAGCCTTATAAAACAGCAGGAATAGATGGGATTTTTCCTGCCCTTCTAAAGAAGGGTCAGGAAACAGCTACACTCCATCTATTAAACATTACAAGAAGCAGCTTAGCGATGGGATATATACCAACCATCTGGAGAAGAGCTAAAGTCATCTTCATACCCAAAATAGACAAAACTGACTGGGCTAACCCCAAATCATTTAGGCCTATTAGTCTCACATCGTTCATATTAAAAACGATGGAGAAAGTAGTGGACAACCATATAAGAGTAAATCATCTACAGGTTAAACCACTGCACGATAGTCAGCATGCATATAGAGCGGGCAGATCCACAGAAACTGCTCTGTACCAGTTAACTGAGCTGTTCAAAGCCCATTGAATGCCCTAATGCGAACGCTCGCTCTATGCGATTTTTGCGAGGGTCGGTTACAACGAGTATACTCGATGTAAACATTATAACGAGCAAACATTAACACTATTTATTACAAATAAAACTGTACAACTGTACCGGGTGTCCCACTAAGAATAGCTCTCGGCCGTATCTCGGAAAGTCGTAGAGCTTGCGGAAAAAAATATTTTTAACTAAAGGGGCTATGAGAAATTGCTGGAAATTATTTTCAAGTTTGTAAAACGGCCGCTAGGGGGCGCAACTGCTATGGAAAATAAGAAAATAGAATTTTTACAGAATTTTGACTAGATAATGGGGTAGTATAAAGGATAGCTTTATAATCTTCAGTAAATTTTGGATTTTTTTTATTAGAACCATTTTCCCCTATCTGCTAAAATAAAGTGGTGGGGGAAAGTTAGATCTATCTTTATTTATATGTTAATAACTCCGGACTGGAAGATCAGAATCCAACAAACGAGGGCTCGTTTAAAAGAGCGTTTCTTACTCTATATTATACCATAAAAATAATAATATTAAGGTTTTGAACGTAGACGCTTGGGGGCGCTTTCTTACAATTTAACAAACAGCGCGTTTTTTCAAAAAAATTAAATACGATAGTATATGCAATTTTAGCTGATAGTAAAGAGTAGTAAAAACTTAAAAAGTCAGCGAAAACCGCATCTTGATATCTTCTTTCAAACCGAAGATATTAGCAAAATTTTAATAAATACCAAAAAATAAGCCCTTAATTACCTCATTTTTACAACACGGTATCAGTAGCCCTCTTGATTATGCCCATTCTAACAAAAAAATAACATAGAAAGAGTTAGTTTATTTTAAATTTTATTCCCAATAGATGGGATTTTTCCTGCCCTTCTAAAGAAGGGTCAGGAAATAGCTACATACCATCTATTAAACATTACAAGAAGCAGCTTAGCTATGGGATACATACCAACCATCTGGAGAAGAGCGAAAGTAATCTTCATACCCAAAATAGGCAAAACTGACTGGGCTCACCCCAAATCATTTAGGCCTATTAGTCTCACAGCGTTCAAGTAGTGGACAACTATATTAGAGTAAATCATCAAAGGCTAAACCACTGCACGATAGTCAGCATGCATATAGAGTGGGCAGATCCACAGAAACTGCTCTGCACCAGTTAACTGAGCTAATACAGGCAAACTTGAATAACAAAGAAACAGCACTTTGTGCTTTCTTGGACTTGCCATTGCAGGGGCGTTTAACAATATACCTCACAAGGTGGTCAAGCGATCTCTTGAAACGAGAAGGGTGAACTGAGTACGATAATTCGCTGGTTTTGGAAAATGCTCTCAACACGAACAGCAGAGGCTGAGATAGGTACCAAAACTGTAATTGTTCAAACAATGCAAAGAACAAGTCAAGGAACAAGTCAAAACAAGGTGGAGTGACCCCCCCTACTGTGGAGCTTGGTAGTGGATGAACTACTGGAAGAATTAATTCTAGCGGGAATACACTGCATAGGGTGATTGCACGGGGAAAACATGAAGGCACCTTCTGTGATATTATCCAAAGAGGACTACGCATCGATGAGAGATGGTGCAGGACTGTCGGGCCGAGTATCAATTCAGATAAAACCGTGGTAGTGCCATTCACCAGAAAGCGAAGTTTGAAAATCTTGAAAATGAATCCATCTAGATGGAAAGGAAATACTGCCATCACAGGAAGTGAAATATCTGGGAATAACCTTGGATAGTAAACTTCTCTGGAACAGGCATATTAAGAACATTACCAGTAAAGCCACAAAGGCTCTCATGATATGCAAAAAACTGGCGGAAAATAGGTGGGGCTGCGCCCCTAACATTCTGCGCTGAATGTATACCATGATAGTAAGACCCATGATTACTTATGGAGCAGTTGCTTAGTATATAAAACTAGAGCAACGTACAGCAAGGCAAAACCTGTGCAAAGTAGCTGACTGGCATATCTGCATCACGGGTGCCATGAGAACATGTCCAACAGCAGCAATGGAGGTCATTTTAGACCTAACACCACTGCACATTGTTGTCGGTAGTAATGCCAATGCGACAATGATTAGAATGGTCATTGACGGTAACAGTACTGGGAGAATTTTCAGGTCAGGGGTTTGGAACACCCTCAAAAAGAAAATTCCACTTCTCCAACTCCCAGTTGATGACATACCAAGAATTTACAACTTTGAGAAACACCTCACTGTTGTATTGAGTAATAAAAATGATTGGCAGGGCGCTTACTGAGCATATAATAAACCATACCATAACGTGGTATTTGTTGGATGTTTACAAAACCAAAGCAGGGACAGGGATAGGGGTATTTGGGCCGAAACCCCCAGTATCCTTCAGGCAGAAATTTACGCTATCGAAAGATGCGTACAATTTATCTTAGATAGGAACTATCGAAAACAGGAAATAGCTATCCTATCCGGTAGTCAAGCAGCACGCAATCCACTCAGTAACCATCAATTCGAAGTTGGTAAAAGAATGCCTAGAGAAGCTCAACAAATTAGGCAAAGAAAATAAAGTCCTCCTACTCTGGGTACCTGCTAGCTAGGAAAGGAGCGAACACTCCACTAACTGGACCAGAACCGTTCTGTTTTTCAAACGGGAACCAACTGAAAGCGGAACTGAAGAATCTGGAAGACTCCATCTGTAACTTGGAATGTGTATCCTCCAACGGACAAGACACTCGAAAAAGTTCCTCAGAACTTACTACCCAGAAAAATCAAAGGTTTTCCTTGATTTAAATAAAAACAAACTTCGGATTGTCACGGGGTTTCTAACTGTCTCCTCAACGAACATCTCAGTAGGCTGAAGCTGAGAAACAACGGCGAATGCAGATTCTGTGGGGAAAATGGGAAAACACCAGAACACCTTATCCCTGAGTGCGCCGAGACGACCATTCGTACCATAAACTTTGGTACGGCTGATGTCGAGGATGGAGAGCTGGCCTCTGTAGAATCGTCTCAGATACTGGCTTTTGTTAAAGCCCTGAGCCTGTATGATAAGTTATAACTCGAGAAAGGAGAACACACAATAGATCTGTAAGGTCGGGTAACCCCCCTCCAAAACATTCAACATTCTAAGTTTTCTGCGAGCTTGCAGATCTGCTGCTATGTGATGTACTTTGTTGGTAATAAAGAACAATTATTGTTATTCTTAAGAATCTGGTACTTACTCTCACTTTTGTGCTTCTCACTTTCTGCATCCTCAGGTGTGGCTATCGATAAATTAGCCACAAACTCTTTCCTTAGTTTTGCTTTCTTTTTTTCTGCTCCAGAAGGTTCTTTCCTCACATTCGATTTTACTGTTGGAACTGAACTAACATTTGATTCTTCTAAATTGTCCTAAAAAAATTTACATGTTAATATTTTTTTCTTCAATTCTTTTTTATAAACTTATAAAACTATAATATTGTGCTGATAGATTCCATTACAGTTGAGGGTTGGAAAACCTTGGCGTTAGACGGCAAAATAAAACACTAATTCACCACAATACGCCAAAACACTTTACTTTTGCACTGAACTCGCGTTTCGCTAACCATGTTACTATCATCAACAGATGGTTAAAACTAAACTAATATCTACAAATTGAGCGTTTATATACTCGCTCAATTGGCATCGAGTAAGTGTGGCAAAACTTGCCAAGCGAGTCGAAACCAACCGAGCGGAACAATTAATTACCGAAACTATAACAATAGGTACAGAGAGCAGGAAGGAATTGGACCGTTGTTTCTGTTCATACTATCTTTACATTTATTAATTTTGACGCTCTCATACGCATCTATTTGCCTGTAATTTGAGACCTGTTTAATTAATGTTAATTTGTTGATAAAGAACATTGCATCTATGCAATGTTCATTATCAACAATAGGCTGAGCAACGCAAGATTTATCCGATCTACCGTATCTTATCTGAGTTTTTTATATCTAATTAATATTGATCTTCTAGTTTGCCCAACATATTTCTGATGACAATCTTTACACGAAATTTCATAAATACCCGACCTTTCCAGTGGAGGTGGTGTCCAGTTCCAGTGTGTCTTTTTAAACCACTAGATAACTTTCTATCAAACTGTATTGAAAAATATTTTGACGTATCTTTCTCCACTTGAAAAGCCAAATTTTCAGAAATCGCAAACTTATATCGCCTACGTTTTCTAATGATTTTATTGACTAATGAAGGAGAATACCCATTACATATTACATATTTGCATACCCGCTACAACTCTAATGTAATTTCTTTCTATTTCAAATCTTTCATTGGCAAGTGGAAAACCAAGTAATCTATGAACTAAGAAATTTAAACTAGCTAAATTATGTTCAATACTATTATATGACTCATCAGGAATATATCTGCATGTAGTGGTATTTTTTCTATACCGGATGCGTCTCAAGAGTGGCTCACCCCTACAACTTTTTCAGATAAAACAACGAGATTTTGGTATGTTAGTATATGACATAAATTAGGATTGATTGACATATTGAATTGTTTTCAGTCACTTCCGGTTTCACAGGAAATGACTACAACTTTTGATTTTTAATAATACCCTCGGTATTTTTTTATTTTATTCAATAGAAAATGACACTCTCAATAGAATGACATATCATATGTCAACTTTTGACACTTTCGCATATATGGTTTATTTAAAATTGTAACATACGGTTCATAACGACAATTTGACTCGAAATACCAAGTGTATGGTATCAAATTATTCATAAAAAAATGGTTTTTCCAAATATGCTAATGAGCCACCCTCGTTCCATTTGAAAAAATTGAGATATGATTAAAAATACGATTTGAGCGTTTTATAACCGACCAGGGGCGCTATTCCGACAGCTATCGGTACGTACGACCAATGAGCGTCGTGTTGATTTTGTTGTCATAGTTTTAGCTGTCATTATAGCAAATTTGTACCGAGGACTCTCGGTATCTCTAGCGTGGGGTTAACAAGGGCACGGTAGAGATACCGATTTTCGTCGGTACAAATTTGCGATATCTGCCATAGGGCCGATCGGTAACTATGACAACAACAAATAACAAATTTTTACTATATACAAATACGTATCGAGAGCTTTCGTAACTTACCGATACCGACGATTTTACAGAATAGCGCCCCAGGACAAGACATTAAAGATATTAGACGATCAAATCTATTTTTCCAAGGCTCCTTGATTAAAAATTATTGTTTTTAACACAGCTATGGCACTCTAGATTGAAATTTAAAATACAATTTGTTTTTGAGCGAATATGTTAAAAGTTGACATACGATATGTCATTCGATTCAGAGTTTCTTTTTCTATCGAATAAAGTAAAAAAGTACCGAGGGTGCCATTTAAAAATCAAAATTTGTAGTGACGGTAAAACAGGAAGTGACAGAAAATAATTGAATACATCAATTACGTTCATTTTTTTTTCTCTTAAACCCACGTTTTTTTTTTCTCTTAAACCCATCACATGTAATTGTCTTTTTCGCTTAGTGATAGCAAATAAGAATCTAAATATTCCTGGAGGCTTTAACAAACCCGAGATGATTATTATTTTTTATATTTTAAAGAAAAGGTTTTCTCTACTTTTGGACTATTACTAAGAAAGTTCTGAAATTATTATTATGTATTATTTTTTCATGTTTTTTTAAACGTCGTTTTTATCCATATTTTTATAGTTTTCAAAATACCAAAAAAATACTATCGACGCTTATCGACGTTTCCTCTTATCGCAAATAATATTGTTTGAGGAATGTATTTGTTTATAAACAAAAAATGGTCTGCCGAATTCTGCCTATTCATGTGATATATTTATTTGAAGTAGTCCATGTTTCTCAATAGACCGCAACACAATTTTAAGTTACGTTTTTTCAGAAAAGACAATAGACAGTTAAAGCACGGCCAAAGACGTAGACGTAAACGTATCGTTTGACATGTACGCTTGCGCAGTGTGAAATTCACTTGCGTTTACGGATACGTGGTACGTATCTTTACGTGTCTTTACGTACGAACTAAACGCAAACGTATCGAGCCGAAGGAGTTTCGATTTTCACCCGAATGATGCCGAACGTACAAATTCACAAACAACTCATTTCCACAACTGGCTAGTAATTAAGTTATTTCATAAATTTTGGGGCCAGTGTCACAGAACTGGGCCTATTTTATTACAATAAATTAGTATGAAAATATTAAGCATCATAATAAACTCATTTTGGAATCTATTTAATTAAATGCTAGTTCTTATAGCCAAAATCCATATGAGGATTCTAAAAGATGGAATCTAATAAATAATCATAAAGCTGTGTCTGTTTTCCAATATATTTTTTATTACGAAGAGCATTTTAAGTTGTAAGGACTACTTTCTGTAATAAAATAATTTCCATTTATAATTTTCTTCATTTTTCGATATTACTTTTATAAATTTAATGTGGAATCATTGGAATAATAGATATCCATTTTCAATTTTAAAATTAAATAAATTGTTTCACAAAATAATTTAGAATTACAAATGTACCATTTGCGTTACGTACGTCAAAATACTTGCTTTAACTCTTGTTTACACGACAACGCAACGGCAGACGTAACGTAAGTTTCTGCGTTACGTGTCGAGAGATACGTATACGTATTGTGCCTTGCTTTAACTGTCTAATAGTCGAAAATGTTCACGGTATATCACAAATCAAGATGTTTTTAATTGTCTCCTGATATCCTCTGATCCTTATTTGGCTGCATTTCAGCATATGTGAAAGAAAAGTGAATGTTTAGAGCTGGATGATGAAGCCAAAGAACTCATTTTATAGAAGATATTACTGAGTTGGTTGAGAATATGTTTTCTTACATAAATATTATTTCCTACTTTTACGTTCAGAGTTGTAATGGTGGTTTAGTTTTTTTGTTTTGTGAAATATACATTTTTTTAATTTTATAGGTACTTTAGGTACTTATTGTTTAAAGTTTCTTTTAAGTATGGAAATCACTTGATTTACAAAATAAAACTTTTTTATAAACATAATTAAATTATAAACACTTCTTCGTCTGCACGCATATAATATATTTTTTGGATCCCATTGTTAAATTAGTATCTTGTTATTTTATTTTTTCACGGGGGAAGTTGAATTTTTTTTTATTAAGAAAGGTCTAAACAAACAGCTAGTGATACAAGAAGTGATTTTTAAAGAATTTATAAACTTATCTCTTTCACCTGTCACTTGCTCACCCAATCCAAACATTTCCCAAACCCCATCCCCCACGTTCACCCATTAAAGGAGGGGGCGTGGGGCTGTTAATGTAAGAAAAACATTTTTTGGAGTTCACCAGAAATCATTACTAAGCGATAACGGTAAATCTACAGGTGTGTACCTTTACCGATATTATTAAATGACACGCTTTACAAAAAAATAATTTTTGCAGTCATAATTAGACCGGCGTTTTCCTAAAATTCAATTAAAATTATAAAAATATATAGATATTGTTCTTTTCGCCATAAATAAAGCAGCTGGGCTACAAATTACTTATTAAAGTATTTTTTTCTATTTATGACCGCTATATCCCTATACCTCGATCCACTGTGCGGCGATCGCAAGCGATCCTAGAATGAAATAAATTGAAATCCGATTTTAATATGACATACTCGATAAAAAGCTGAGCGAATTTTCTACGTAAATTGCAGGTGGCAAATTTATATGACGCCGCACAAAGGGCCAGTATCACTGAAAACATTGAATATCTCCAAAAAAAATCGCTTCACTTGATAGTAGGCTTTGCGAAATGCAATTATATCGCGGCAGAAGAGTTTCAACTTTGTAATTTTTTAAAACGGATATTTCACAAATATTTTTTTATGATGAATGTAGATGATAGGGGTAAGTTTTTACTGTTTTTCTGATCTTTCACATTTTAATAATATTTTTCCATATTTCTGTTAGGGTTATTTTTGTTAAAATATATTTTTCAAAAAAAAACTTTCTACATTTATGAACGATTTTAAAAAAATGTAGAAATATCGTAATTTTTTTATACATGTCATTCGCTTAGGTGGTCTTCATACTTTTATGTTGCGCAAAAAAATCTTCCCCAAACTGCCACCCTGTGTGGTAGAGCATATTGTTCAATTTTAATAATAATAATTGTTTAACATTAATGTTTGGATGCACAGTCCGGCAATAGTGCGTCAGGCATCTGTAGCTCCTAGAATAAAAAACTTGGGGAATTTGTTTAAGTGCAAACCTAAAGTATGTACGGGGATGTATTTCAAGAAAATATTTTAACTTCTATAGGGTGGCTCAAAAAGTGTGAGTGGACCGGGATTAATTTTTTAAAGGAACACTCTGTATATTATTGCATTTTTGGCTTCCTTTCTGA